ATATACTATGTAGCTTTTTTAAAAAAAAATAATGCATATATGCCCTAATTTATCTCTGTAGTAGTAGAAGCATTATAGTTAGGATTATGTCTTATTTGCAGAGTTAAAATGTTGGCCTTTTTGGTGATGATGGTGTTTGTTTTTTTTTATTTCCAAGTACTTTCTATAAGTTATTAATCATAATTGATTAGTTTTTCAATTCTGGAAATGTAAGCAGAACATAAGCTGACTCTTTGTGGCTTTTTCTTTTCTTGGGCATTAGGTTAGTAGGAAGCAGGATGCTGAATTAGATAGGCCTTTAACCTGATCTAGGATGACTTTTTTATGTATAATATGACAAATAGTCATGGAGAGAAGAATAACCACTGTACTTTATAGAGACATTTTATTCTGTGTGTCCTTTCTGTGAACTAAAAAGAACAATTTGCTTCAAATGTCGTGTTCATTCATCCAGCCCTCATTTTTCAATAAGCAGTAGTGATAAAAAAAAAAAAATACTGTTGCCTTGTATTACACCAATGTCTTCCTGATTAAAGGACAACATAATTCTAATCCATGTTAAAAACAAGAAATTGTTGGATTAAACAACCCTAAATGTTCAGGGAAGAGGTTAATTGTAGCAGCTAGTAATATAAATTATGTAGTCTCTTATTGGTTGTGAGGTTGTGGAAAATTCTCTTAACTTCACATTATTTGTTGCTCCTGTTATTGTTACTTTCTTTTCTCTCATGGTACAATCATATAGAATAATGTCTTTTTCTCCTGTTTCTTGGTGACCATTAGTATTTTTTTATTTGCAAGTAAAATACATATTTGTTTATAGGATCATGGTAAAACTCTTTAAGAAGGACAATTGAGCGAAGAAGTGAGGGAGAAAGAGAAATGAAGAAAAGAAAGTGCTGACATCACTTCAAAATATTGATCACAAAATGGTCCACTATTTTTTAAATTCTTCACAGTTCTTGCTGAGTAGAGTAATTCATACTATGCAAGAGAAAACCCATCACCATTATTATTGATTTTTATCATTTCCGATGAACCCAGTCTTAGTATAACAAGATCTTTGCTGCAGAGTTACAGGCTCCAGTATTTCAAGAATTACTGATATTTCAGAAACTTAATTGAAAAGGTGTGACATGTTTATTAATTTCAAGAAATAATACATGGATGATTTAGTTCTGGAAACAGCCCAGCATCTGTTTGAGATTTTGTACCAGACACTCCAGATTGCTTTATCAAAGGGCTATGCCAATGATTTTCTTGAAAAATTAACAAGCATCAGTTTCATACATTGATTTTTTTTCATCTCATGGCAAGTAAATAGGACCTATAGTTTGGAGGTTTGTGCAAACACATTAAAAAAAAGATCAGACATTTTATGTATGCTTAAAACATTTTCACAATATATTTTCATAGCAAAAAAATTCTAGCATTTGTTACACACACACATTTGCTACAGGTTAATAGAGTGGTAATTTTTAAAACCAATTTGAAATATCTTTTTTCTGGCCTTCAATATTAAATACTTCCTACTACATTCTTTTTTCTGGCCTTCAATATTAAATACTTCCTACTACATTCTTCTCAGATAATTGATTCTCTTTCATTTCTGTTTATAAATCTAAATCAGCATTTGGAGGTCTTAGAACTGCTAATACTATAGCATGTTATTTATAGATTTTGTATTAAATGGATCTGGAATATCTTATGCTGGCATCACCCAATATATTTTAAGTCCTGTATTACCATAAACTAGATGGAAAAGTGCAGGCCAACTAGCTGTTTTGGACCCACCGATTTGCATCAATTAGACCAGGAATTCCCAATCTCTGGTCTGTGGACCAGTACTGGGCTGCGGCATGCCAGCAACTGGTCCACCCAAACAAGCAAAGTCCCATCCGCGAGATGCAGGCAGCACACAAAACCACGTGCCCTCTTGGCCCGCGGAAAAACCTCTCTCCATGGAACCAGTCTCTGGTGCCCAAAAGGTTGGGGACCTCTGAATTAGATCATCTGGTAGGATTGAGCTTTATGGACCATAGTTTTGCAGCAGTCTTTCTTGCTTGTTTTTGTCCAGAAGATGCTGCTAGGGGAATGCTTGCTTCCTATTAATCGCACCAAATTATTCTGTGTGGTCATTCACATTAGTCAATACCTGTATGAAACTGCTGAGGGGGCATCTCTGCCTCGGGGCATCCAAGTGATTCTATTGAGTTGCTTTCCCTGTGTCTGTGCAAGTTGGGATGGGAAAAACTGACTGGCTCAACCCCAAATGATTTATTCTATTTTCTACTTGGAATTTATAATGCTGCTGCTATGATAATAATAATATTGTACAGATTGACTACAAAGTAGCAACAAAAGTGCATTGGAATACTTACAAGAAATACTATTTGCCTGCAAGCAAGAACTTGTAAGACCACAAAGTAGAGAAAATAATAGAAAATGAATAAGCTAAAGTACTCTGGGACTTTATAATTCAAACAGATACATATCTGCCACTTAATACCTCAGAATTAACCGGCAATGCCTGGAGACAGCAGATTAGACAGAAAGAACTGGAGAAAATCACAAAAGACAAAGACCTGCAAATAAAAGTAGAACAATTATGGCAAAAGCAAGCAAGGATAGCATCAATAGTAACAGTAGCCTTGGGTGCAATCCCAAAACAATTGGCGCACCATTTAAATGCCATTGGCATTTACAAAACCACCACCAGTCAATTGCAAAAGGCAGCTTTACTTGGAACAGCTGGCATACTGTGACCATACCTCTAACACTACCATGCTACATGTGCATATCCCAGGTCCTTAGGATAAAAGACTACCTTGATAGGTGGATAAAAATGCTAAATCCAATCTAAGCATCAGGCTGAGTGTGTGACCAACCAAAATAATAAAATTTATATGCTGCCCAACTCCCGGTGATTCTGGGATAGCTAGGTGGCCAGATAAATTTGATTGAGGAATTAAAATAGCTGTATAATTAAGGTTAGTGAAGAGACTATGACCCTCAGCTGGACGAATTGGGCCACAGTAGTTATCCATATCTACAGAAGATCTTGAATGTTGCAATATTTTCTAACTGCATATTAAAACTCTCCAGAATTTGTAGTAAATACAAAATGGAAATAAAGATACATATCATGGAATTACAAGATGCCTGTATTAAAGTATCTGAACTGGCTGCCAGTGGCATACTGAACACAATGTAAGATGTAAGTATCAACTTTTAACTACTACATGGCTTACGGCCTAAGAGATTAGCCTGTTCAGCTGTTATGATTTTCAAGAAAGGTCTTTTTGAAGATCCCCTACTGCCAGAGACCCATATTTCTAGAATACTGGAGAATACCAATAAAAATTGGTATGTACCTCTTCTTAAGCAATATGAGGATTTATAAAGATAAAAGAATAGTTGCCTTGACTACTTGCCTGCATAGAAAGATAGAGTGAAAATCAAATTTAAACATTCAAATGTAAAACAATATAAGACAACAAAATGTTGCAAAATATTTTTATTGAACACAGCAACAATCCTTTTTTTTAAAAAAATGTGTTTGATATGAAGGGATAAATCAGCTTGCATACAGTATTATTAATGGTACAAATCTGATTTGGAAGTATTTTCAGTTGGCAACATAAGAAAAATAGAAGAAAAGATGTCATTTCATAATGCCAATAAGAACAAGATGAAAACAATATTAATTATAAAATATAAAAGTAAGTACTAGTTTTCACTGAATTCTAAAAATCCCAAAATTGTGCATGAAGGAAATCAACAGTATAGTACATACTAATGAGATAAAAGATCTATATGTGCATAGAACGCTCTTCTGTTTTAACAATTTCCTTAAAAGCTAGACCAATTCAGCTAAGAACATAAATTCAGTCTTTATTACACATGCATACTGTATATGCAGTAAAAAAATGCTCCATGAAAATATTAAATGATGCATTTCAGTAGATCTTATTTCATACCCATCATTACTGTTATGGTTACTCTTTGGCATTTTAGCTTTGTCCAAGTTGGTTTCATAGTTCATCCTTGTAATTCTAATGTTGTATTTTCCAAACCAAATATATTTGTAAGCCACAACAATGGGAGATGTAATCTAGCCCCTATCATAGTGTGAGCCTATAAATATCTATTCAAAAGAAAATACCTCTAAGTTCACTGGGATTTCCTTCCAGTCACTGCATCCTGAATAACTTATTCCATTTTTTTAAAAACAATGTCAATAACTAAAAGTTACCCTTAAAAGTTTTGATCTGCAAAAGCTTTCTTCCCCTTCTCCCCTGATGCAAACTTCCTTGCCTGCAGAACTAACTCTTAGCATACTAAAAGCACAGGACTTTAATTTCATGTGACAATCTACTCAAGTGTTTTCTTTTGCCATCTGGCAAGCTCAATTATTCCCTCTGAGTCGCTAATATATGTCTGCCACATACAGTATTTTTCTCCATACAACTAAAGGGCTTTGGGGGAACCAAATGAGAATTTAAAAAATAAATAAATGAATAATTTTGAAGAACAGGATGAGGGACATAGGAGTCTTTCGTACTCTTTTTATTTTATTTTTATAACAACAGCTTCAAAAATGTGAGAGTTAGTTTTTTTTTTTTTTATTTCTAATGCATCATTGCAAAGCTACAAACTAAGAGCTGAACTGGCCTAGTGAATGTTTTCTTTTACCTTTTCAAAAAGTTGTGGAAGAAGAAAAGGAAAAGAGAAGGACAGGTTGGCTTCTCCTTAGTCCAGAATCTGGAAAACACTTTTACTGGATAATTATAGAATTTGATTTATGAAACTGAAATGAGCATCATAAATGGACATGTTCCCTGGGTATCAGCTTCAGTAGTAAACAAGAACAAACATAAATGAATAACAGAATAATAGAGTTGGAGGGACTTTGGAGGTCTTTTAGTCCAACCCTGCTCAGGCAGAAATCCCTATACCATTCCACATAATCTCTTCTTAAAAATCTCCGGTGTTGGAGCCCCCACAATGTCTAGAGGCAGGTTGTTCCACTGATTAATTGTTCCGTCAGGAAATTCCTCCTTAGTTCTAGGTTGCTTCTCTCTTTGATTAGTTTTCCTCCATTGCTTCTTATCCTGCCTTCAGGTGGGTCTTATTGAGTCTTTTTACCAATCTTGTTCCATTCAAAACATTTTTTGGACTATCTTAAATTTGGAAGGAGTGAAATGCCTTAAGTGTAACCATATGATGTAATCAATTCATGAAATTATTCTTCTTTACAAATATGGGCACCCATTTGCAGCACCATTAGTTATACTAAATGGATGAGGTTGCATTATGAACATCATTCCTCTCCAGGTTGGAAATGAGAATGCTTTCTTCGGCAACAGGAACTTCAGAGTGGGCTTCTCCAAGGCAAGCATTTCTGAAGCACATTGTAGTTCTAGATATGCGACTGGGCCACCACAAACATTTCACTATAGCACTTACAGCTATCAGCAATGCAGATAATATCACCAGGATGACTATCCTAGGATAGGATACTTGAAAAAGAAAGCGAGAAAGAAAAACTTGACAGTAACAGTTTTAGTTTCATGTTTAGGAATTAAAATATGGGAAAGTGATATTACATACCTTTCGCTGGTGGTACTGCAGTCTCATGATAACCTGAAAAATAATGCATAATTATCTACTTCATTGGTTAGAGCAGTGGTGGCGAACCTATGGCACGCGTGCCAGAGGCGGCACTCGGAGCCCTCTCTGTGGGCACACATGCTGTCACCCCAGCCCCGCCTCCCCTCGCGGCCCTCTCCTCACCAGCAGCCCCTCTGGAGGAAAGTTGCCTCCGGGCACAGCCCACACGGAGCAGCGCAGCCAAGGACATAGCCAGGCAGCAGGGACAAGACTCTGCCCTCGTGCCCCATAGCATGCAGATGATGCTGCAGGGTGTGGGCGGAGGGAGTGGCTGCCATGGCGCTGCAGGGCTGCCTGGGTGATATGCTGTAGTGGGCCATGGAGGCGATGCATGGCCCTGTGGGCAGGTGGGGCAGGGGGCGGGTGGGGGCAGAGCAGGCAGGGCGGGAGGCAGAGTGGGGGTAGGCGGACAGTTTTTGGGCACTGTGTCTCTAAAAGGTTCGCCATCACTGAGTTAGAGATTAGAGCAGGGGTGTCAGAGTGCCAGCCCACAGGCTGGTTTCATCATACCGAAGCCGCACCAACCTCATTGCCGGCAATGCAAAAAGAGTTGAGATACGTCGCAACACATCACGTGATGTGATGAGTTCGACACCCGTGAATTAGGGCAATATAGCTAGGAGTAAGCACTGCAGTTTGCACCTGATTTAATTAGTTTTAAAAGGTATTTTATTTTTTAAAAACTGGCACATGAAATAAAAATATGTGCATTTCTAAATTGTATCTAGATGCTTTATAGACATGCTTAGACATCACAGATGGTAATTTTGCTTAGAACTGCATCTCCCAACCCAGAGAAAAATGTCAAAAGTAAGATGGAATTATATAAAACATCCTGTTGAGTCAGATAAGAGAAGTCAAGAAGCATCCACAGAATTTATCTTCTGATAATCATTTCTTTTCTGCACACCATAGAAAACTATCTGAAAATAAGCAAATTCCATCCCAACCCCCACTGGCAGTTATTTTATATTTCTCCAAAGCTTCAAAATGTGCCTATCAGCCTCAAAAGATTCTTAGATTTAATAGTTATATTAAGAAGTTTTACTTGAACTAAATTTACCTCCTCAGAAAAATAGGAACGTTAAACAGGTTTCGTTAGGTAATAACATCAACAGTTTACTTGAACAAATCATCAAGTTTAAAGATTTTTTCCTGCTGGTTTTATTCAGTATACTGTATAGAGTTCTATGGGTATAAATATTACTTGTACAGCTTTTCCTCTTGTGAGTGTATTATTTAGAATAAAAATAGTTGCCGCTAATTTTGGCCCAAGTGGTATCCAAAAGTACTGTGTTTGAAAGGGAATCTTCTAGGAATAAAATGGCAGTTTTCTTATTCAATTAGCTGATTCGTGCACATTTTTTTAAAATTTAGTAAAATGGCACTGGAAAATCCCTGTCCAATTCATGCTCTCAAATGTGGAATGTACCTACAACAACATCTACAAGACTATGGGAAGACCTTTTGGTCCAGCAGAGCATGCTAATTAGGAAAAGATTGTTTGGAAAAAAAAAGAAGGCTAAAGTTAGAATTAAGAAATTAGATGATGGGATCTATCAGATGGAATATCTAAAGATTAAACACGTTTGAATATGGTTAAAGAAATAGAAAAGTTTTGGATATAAATGAATTTTAGTTTAAGAGGGATGAGCCCCTCAAGTAACAAAGTATTTTTTTTATGATATGAGAAATATAAAAATGTTGGGATGATTTATATGAGGGAAATGTTTTATATATTTAAGTGTAATTGATTTTGAGAAAATTTCAATTGATAAGAATGTTTTGAATAGATTTAAAAGATTAGATAATTGGATTTATTAGATGGAATATTTAAAGATTAAACATTTGAATATGGTTAAAAAGAATAGAAAATTTTTAGATATAAATGTGTCCTAGCTTAAGAGGGACATGTTTCTCAAGTAGTATACTATTTCTTTCTTTTTTTCTTCTCTTTTTTGTTTTTGTTTTAAGATATGAGAAATGTAAAATTGTTGGGATGGCTTGTATGATGAAAAAGATTTAAATACTTAAGTACAATTAACTCTGAGAAAATCTTAACTGACAAGAATGTTTTGAACATTGCGAGGAAAACAAATCTAAATAAGAACTTTGAAAACAGGATCTATGACAAGGTGATTAAGATGATCAATTAGAAAAGAAGCATCATATTGATGAGGATGTTACTTGTAGAAATACTAAAAAATGTTTTTATTCAACTGTTATCTATCAAAATACTAAGAAATGTATTAATTTAAGGTTGATAAAAGAGAATATTTTTGGAAGAAGAGAAAATCAAGGAAAGCTACTATGTGTTATTGTTTTTAAATATAAACCCAGACAACACGCTTTACCAAATATTAAGGCGATTATGTTAAAAAATAATAAAATATATTTAAAAAAGAGATAAATTTTAGTTACATATTCTTTAAACATAGGTTCATACCTGTTTTGGCTTTACATACAAATCCTTTTTTCTCATGACAAGGTAATAATTTCCAGATTCCATCTGCAGTTGTTAAAACAATGCAGCTGTTATCTTTCCGTTGACCCACTTCAGGTTGCTCAGTGCCCCAGTTTGAATACTGAACTGGAGAGCCATCAAGCCATATCACAGTAGCATCTAAGGGCAATATTAGTGATGTCACTAAAAAGTTGGGAGACTCCAGAATCCATGCATGAGACCTCACAATTCTATTTATCATTTTTTCCCTCACTAGGTATTTTCTTATATCAAACCTACATCCCTGTATGGATTTGAGGGGAGATATCTGTGAATAAATTAATGCGTTTGCATCGTAATTTCTTCAAAAATTAAATAGTCCCGGGACTTTGGAAATTAGGCGAGCGTCCTTCTAGCTCTAGTTATCTTTAAGGAAGATTGTGCATCATAACTGCAAACTACTTCTCATCATACAGTATTATCTAGAAATAATCATTAAATGTTTATGAAAATGCAGTTTTCATGGGAGCTGTCCATCTATTTTCTCTTTTTACGACATGAAATTAATGATATTTTGCAAGAGTCTTTTGGAGGAAGTAGACTGCAAAGTAAACAATGAAGAACTAATGCATTCATTTTAGGTTCAAATTAATTTTTACTTCAGAAATAATGCTATTCCTTTCTATTCCTTCAAAATACTTCTGTGTGTCATGCCTTAAACCAGTGGTTCTCAACCTGTGGGTCGGGACCCCATTTGGGGTCAAATGACCATTTCATGGGGGTCGCCAAACCATGCTGTCCGTCATTTTTTTCCCTTTTCCCTAGCTGTCCTACTCCCTCTTATTGGTGGCCACACCCACTTGGGGGTCACCACAACATGGGGAACTGTATTATGGGGTCACGGCATTAGAAAGGTTGAGAACCACTGCCTTAAACCTTTATGCAGAAGGCAACAACCTGTAAATATCTAAATGGATTTCTAAGTATGCATCTTCGTGTCTTATATTAAATAACTTTAAAAAACCTCAGAGCTCCCTTGCGAAACAGATGAATTTGAAAAATATTTTCACTCTATTTTTAAACATGGGATATATAGACAAGGTGCTAAGAGAGCCAGTATGGGATAATGATTAAGGTGCTGGGCCAAAAGTAGAGAGATCCAAGTGCTAGTTAGCTAAGAGAATGGTGGTTCACTCTCTCTCAGCCCAAGATACTTAGCAGAGTTGTAACGTAGGGGAAATAAGAGGAGGGAGCATTCTGCACATCACCTTGAGTTCCTGTATAAAAAGTGCAATATAAATTTAATAAAGTATGGAGACTAGTTTATTGCACATATGCTTCCAAACTTCATTAGAAGTGAAGGCATGTCAAAGTTCGAGAGAAAAAAGAGTAGAGATGGCTAAATAAAACTGGTTTCTGTTCCACAGAATTAATATGAAAGTGGTCATAGCAATAGCAAGAGCACTTAGATTTATATACCGCTTTACAGCCCTCTCTATGTGGTTTACAGAGTCAGCATATTACTCCCAACCAGTGCTTTTTTTGTAAAAAAAAAAAAGTGCCGGAACTCACACGTTATACAACCCGCCTTGCCTACCCTACAAGATTCCATCCAAAAAAGATGCTGGAACTCCGTTCTGGGCGTTCTATAACAAAAACAGCCCTGCTCCCAACAATTTGGGTCCTCATTTTACCATCCTTGGAAGGATCTAAGGCTGACGAGCAAACAAAATACTTACTAGCTCATTACAAAACTGAAAATGCAGTAGGAATAAGGAGTCCTATAATCAGAATATAAAGCAAAATAGTTATCATTAGCACGTTGTGTTAATTAAATGGCCCAGCTTATTTTAACTACAAAAGAAATTGCAAATATATGCTCTGTGCCGAAATCTCAAATAGTTGGATGTGACTTAATTTTTTCCCAGCTTCTGTTCACTTACTATCCATAAGGAAGTGAGTATTCAACCAAATCATTTCAACCACAGAGCCAAAAGAATGCAGTTCTTCTAAAATAAAAATATTTTCATCTCTGCCTTTGATTGTTAGAAGATTAGAATCTGAAAATGAACAAATGGCAGATTTACTATTAAGCAAATACACTTAAATTATAAAAATAGGCTCATGCAAGATTTTACTTTTAGGTTTACTTAGAATTTGCTTTAAAGAACAGAATTTCCACATTATGTATTTAATCAATTTACTGCAAGATTTCTGGATTAAGATTATAAAATGGCCAAATGAAACAAACACAATGTAAAGTCTGCAGCAAATTAAAACAGCCACAGAATAAAACCAAAGCAAATCCAGAGGCACAGAAGAACAGCAGTACAAGAACCATATTTTTTTTTTTAAAAAAACCCAAAAGACTAAAAAGTCTGGGGGAAAAAAAATCACTTTTTCCTCCCGGCATGGAATGTAAAAAGCAAAATATAGGTAGGCAATTGTGCCTGAAAAAGATGATCCATAACTAGGGCACCACTTTTATTTTTTATTTATTTCTGAATGTATTATATTTATATAGCCACCCATCTCACTAAAAGTGATTCTGGGTGGTGTATAAGAATTAATAAAGCCAGATACATAAAAACACTCATTATAAAAATATAAAGATGCTGCAAATACTGTATATTCTTGCTTTGACACCTTATTAAGATTACTGAAAGTCAGTTTGCTGTAGCAGTTCAGGTGCTGGCCAAGAAACCAGGAGACTGTCTTAGGCATAAAAGCCATTTGGGTAACTTTGGGCCAGTCCTTCTCTTTTACAGCACAGCTGACCTCACAAGGTTGTTGTTATGGGGTAACAAAGAGGAAGAAGGAGTATTAGGTATGTTCACTGCATTTAGTTCCTTACAAAGTAATAAAGGTGGAATAAAACTCTTAAGAAAAAATAAAAAGAAGATATTATAAAACATTCAAAATATATAAACCACACAGAGAAAGCAAAATATCAACCACGGTGGAGCCATCTATGAATACATCTGGATTACCTAGAAACCCCCCCCCCCCCGGTTTGGTGTGCTAATCAGATTTTAAGGAACTTTTGAAATGATAGCAAGGATGGAGATAACCTGGCTTTGTGTGTGTGTGTGTGTGTGTGTGTGTGTGTGTGTGTGTGAGAGAGAGAGAGAGAGAGAGAGAGAGAGAGAGAGAGAGAGAGAGAGAGAGAGAGAGAGAGAGAGAGAGATACTCCATAAGGCAGACACCACAGCAGAGGAGGCCCACCTCCTGGGACCAACTAAATGCAAATTCCCAGGAGATGGGATCCCTACCATTCTTTCTCTGCCAGATTGACCTTGCCTTGCTCAGGCTTTCCCAGGAAGACCTCAAGGTGCGGAACTGGAGCACAACCAGACAGCCCAACCCCTGCCTTTTTCCTGCCTCCGTGATTGCAGCTATCCCTCATGTTCAGGCCTAAATTCAAAACCCTTACTGATTTTAAACTAACTTCCCAGATTGGATCTAATAAGTACTTGCTTTCACAAGGTTTTCACCCATGCCTTCCTGCATGTTCCCCAGCTGTTGAGCTGCTGTGGGGAGTCATGGCAAAAATTCTCTCATTGGAGAGAAGTGCCTGGGGCCTACCTTGATATCCTTATAGCCCAAGTCAAGTAACTTTATTATTAAGGTGAAGGGTTCTGGAACAAAGGGAAATTGTTTAGTAGTCTAACTGTTGTTTTCTTGCTTTTTGTAATTGGCTTTTGCACCAGGGAAACCTCATGCAAGCGTGGGAAGCATGTACATGGATGCGATATACTGAAGGAGGGAATAAGGGTGTGTACAGGAATGACTGATGTCTTTCTTATGAAGTAATGGCTCTGTTGTCTGATTTTTATTGGCTAACAAAGTTTATAAAGCAATGCTACCAACTTTCTAAGGTGTGGCACTTCTGGACATAATTCTGCCAGCGTTCCAGATTCATGGCCACCCAGCTGCTTAATTTGATCAAATGAAGTGCTGCTTGATCAAGAAGTCTCCACTTGGATTACCTGATTAGATTGATATGATATCTCAAGTACAAGTAAGGGACTGGGACCTTACAAGGGCAACAGGAAAATAATATGTGATAAAAATGCTTGTAATTATGTTTAGTCAACTTTGCTATTTGCTATAACTTAGTGGCTTTGGGGAATATAGTTATCAATATGTATTTATTTCTTACTGATATTTCTATGCTACTCCATTCTAAATGGCTTAATGACATATAAAAGTAGCAGACTAAAAATAAGAGAAGAAACAAACTAGTGGTGCTGAATAGGCAGTCCAACAATGTTAGGCCCCAAATTTAAAAACTTCTTACCTTGCCTACTGCAAAACTCCAATGCTTCATAAAAGTTCAGATTCTCAAAAACAGTGGAAAAGCTATAGCAATTTCTGTCAAACCTTATCCAAGGTACAGTCTTTTCAACACACAATTCCTTATTTTCCATTGATTTATTCTCTGTGAATAAAGGTTCCAGCATTATCACAAACTTTGTATTTTGTTCATTACTTTTGCATTTTTAATTAATTTATTCAACCACAGGATTTTAATGTCAGACATGATTTTTGGGGCACTGGCAGAAAATTGGGCAACTTTGCTATTATCTTGCGTCCTAACGAATCCCATTCCTTCCAAATCTTTAAGTATTACATTATTTTTAATATTCCTGATTCAATTGCCATTTTCAAAAAAGCCAGAATGAGTTATAATTACCAAAAACATTTCAATGTTTAACATAAGAGCTGACTTACTTGGTGAAATATGGCAAATTGCACCACTCAAAAGCTTTTCACAGTCAGTATTTTTCCAGTGTCCATTAGTATCAATGTAAGCACAGTGTCCCGGACTTTGTGTTTCCTCTTCTCCCCAAAATGTAAAAAAAGGCCTGGTGCCATCTGACCACTCAAAGGGAAGGCCATCCTGCCAAAAGAAGTATTTGATTAGTCTCTGCAGGTCATTAACTCAAGAGGCTTTTATGCAGCAACTGCAATTTGATAAGGTACTTCATGCTACAGAAATGAAGCAATTCTGCTTGAAGTGAGGAGCAGAGTAAGATTATTTAGTGAAGTGATCTGGTCTTGTCCAGTAGTTCCAGTTATCCGAAAGAGGCTTCCGTGCATTTTCTAAAGCCTCTTCCAGTTAATAGGGCTGCCAGATAAGAGGCTTAAGAGCAACCTGAGATCAAGAACCATGGGTAAGAAACAGGACGCTCACTCTGACCATTTCCTGCAAAGAAAATCTCTACAAAATGTTCTATAGATGGCATCTCCCACCCATAAGATTAGCTAAAATGGATTCAAATGCTTCTTCCAAATGTTGGAAATGTAAGTTGGCAACTGGGACTTATTATCATATATGGTGAAAGTGCCCACGAGCCCGTGATTTTTGGAATAAGGTTAAAAAATGGCTGGAAGAAATTTTATTGCTAGTGGTAGAGTTAAAACCAGAACTCTTTTTACTAGGCATAACCACGCAGAAATACGACAAAGGGGTACTCTACTTGATGTTACACATTCTCGCGGCTGCTAGATTGGTATACGCTAAAACTGGAGGAATAAAGGAATTCCAACAGAAGAAGAGATTTTATATAAAATTTTATCGTGTGCTGAAATGGATAGACTGACAATGGAAATGAAGGATAAGACAGAATCGGACTACTTTGAAATCTGGGACAAATTTTATTACTGGTATGAATTAAGGAGAACTGCTCGGGCTTCAAGCTAGTGTTAAGACATAAATACATATAACTGTATTGTCACGTTATGTCCATTTTTGTTTTAACTGTATTATAAATAAAAAAACTTTTTTTTTTTTTAAAAAAAGAGCAACCTGAGATGAAGCAAGGTGCCTGCTTTGTTTTTTTGAAGCAGGGGAAGAGAGTCTGTTACTCCATAAAGCAGCTTCTAAGGGAGGTTTCACGTGAACTTTTTTTTGAAGCCAAGCATCTCTACCAAGCTTGTCTTTTTACTACTAAATTAGGATTAATATACTTTATTCACTCTCTTTTCCAAGAAAGGGAACGTAAATTATTTTCCCTGTTTAATAGTCACAGAAAACCACCGATCATTCTTAAAAGAAAGGAAGCTGCTTTATCCTAAGTCAGATCATTGAACTTTCTCTCTCTTGCCAGTTCTGAGATTTAAAATACTATTATCAATGAAATGAGGCCTTTCCGAATTTAAAAAATGAAATGTTTTTCAATGTATAGTGTCAAACAAAGACATCGACAAATATGAAGCTGTGATCAAATTATTTTTAAGGTTTGGTTTTCATGGATGCTAAGGCATATTAATGAATCAAGGAATCATGACCACTCAGAGCTGGGGTTTCCTGCTCATGTGCTGAGTTGCCAGCACAGCCATTGGAAACATTACAGAGGGGACTTCATTTTACAGGCTGGATTTGCTCCACCCCCATTTCTCTCCCCCTTCCTCTCTCTCCCCCTCCCTCCAGGAAGGGAATCTCTGCCCTTCAACACAGGCTACAGGCTGATGTACAGGTTCTCCCTGCTTCTCCCCAGAGCAGTTCTCTTTCATTTTAAAACTGGATTATATGGATGGCATGCCTATTTAATTTATAACAAGAAGGTGGATAGGGCTTTTAAGTCTCATATTTTAAGAATTTCTTTACTTCGAGTTTGGAAGAAATATTATAGAATAGACTCAAGAATTCCATTATGGGCTATCCCAGGGCATGCAATAGAAGGAATAAGGAAAGGAGTGAAGATGGATAGTATTTCTTATAAACAATTACTTAATTGGGATGGGAAGAATTGGCAATTAAAACATATAGATGAATTAGCACAAGAAAATATTATTTATTCGTGGTTTCAGTATAGACAATTATTGGAAAGGTGGAAGATAGATTATAAAGTGGGTTTGATTAGAGAGGATGAAAACTTGCTGAAACAAATTAAAGATCAAAGTCGAACTCACATAAAAAGAATTTATGGTGTATTAGTGGAATTGGATTCAGAAACAGAATTAGTTAAAGATTGCATGGTCAAATGGGCTCAAAATTTTGATGAGCCGGTTTTATTAGAAACATGGGAGATAATTTGGGTGAGGAATGTTAAATTTACGCAAGCTCAAAATTTACGGGAAAACTTTTATAAAATGTTTTATAGATGGCACCTTGATCCACAAAAGATGTCTCGTATATATTCAAATTTGCAATCTAAATGTTGGAGATGTGGTTGTCTGGATGCAACGTATTATCATATTTGTTGGTCATGTAAAAGCATAAAAGTTTTTGGGATAAAGATATGGTGGAATATTCAAAAAAATTTTAATAGAAGGATAAAATTCACTCCACAATTGTTTTTGTTAGGTATTATTATTGATTGTGATGATAAAGAAATTATTTTAATGTTAAATTTAATCACAGTGGCAAGGTTGTTGATAGGACAATATTGGAAGAAGGAATTTTTGCCTACTTTGGAGAAATGGTTTTTTAAAGTTTCTTACTTATCTGAAATGGCAAAAATTTTGGCTTATTTGAAAGATCAATCGCAAGAGAAATATTTCTTGGAGTGGAAAAGATGGATAAACTTTATACAGTATAAGTATGATATTAAAAGATATTATTTAGCTTTTGAATAATTTATGTTTAAAGTTTAAGATAATAAGTATTTTTATTATATATATATATTGGACTTAAAATACTTAAAATTTGTTTTTTTTTAATGTAATATTTGTTTGAGGTTTATTTAAGTTTAAATGTTTTGCATTTTTTAATTTTAGTTAACCCTGTATTCAGCTCTGGGAAGACAGGGGGAGGGTTTCTGGGAGGGTAGGGAGGTAGTGGGAGAGGGATTTTATTGTAAAATTGCAAAAAATTTTAATAAAAAAACAAAACAAAACTGGGAAGCCTCCGCCTGGTGCCAGTGATTCTGTGCATGGACGATCCTCCCATGGCTGCCTGCCCATTCCGTCCCACCATCACTTGGCTTGCCCATGGCGGGGCAGGTGGCCGCACGGCATTGGGATCGCCTGCCTCCCCCCCTCTGCCTCTGCCGACGCACATCAGGATTACCTGCCTCCCCCAGGTGGGTCGCAGACTTGGACTTACCTGTGCTGTGTGAGCAGCAGTTGCTACCGGACACCATCAGCCCCCCCCGCACTCACCGCCTCCTGTGCTGGCCATGCCTCCCTCCCAGGGCTGATGATGATCTTAACTGGGGCTTATTTTGGGGGTAGGGCTTATATTAGGAGCACACTAAAAATCAGGCTAGGGCTTATTTTCTGGTTGGATCTTATTTTTGAGGAAACACGGTACCTACATCTGAAGTGAACAATCCAATCCAGTGAGCGTAACCCACTCGATTTATTATTACGGTAAGGAAAGCTTGATGGTAGTAGTCTGTAATGCTGACCAATTCAGCCCCATTTTTTTTGCACATTTGTGAAGCCATGTTCCAAGTCATACTGCCATTGATCAATGTATATGTACTATTTGCATATTCTAAAGTATCCGGGATTGGGTACATCACCGAAGGATCAATGATGTGTCTAGAAGTATCTGTGATGGAGAAAATCAAGAGTCTTTTGAAAAAAAAATAATAAACTTAACATTAAGACACCGAACATTTTCAAACAAGCTATAGCCATCTCTGAAAGAAATATAAATGATAAGTATTGCAAACTATTAGAGTTGTGAGAGGACAGGGGATGGTGGTGTCTGCCTCTTTAAGACCTCTCCCCAGACAAGCTGCTTAGCAAAGAGCTGCAATAAAAGCCCTGCAGCAAAGCTGCCAGGTGTGTTGTGTTGGTTGTGGTCATTGGTGTGCTAGTTTTGGAGAAGCAGTGGGTTCAGAAGGGCTCGGGGAGTGAGAAGGGTTGTGAATTTTCTAACTCTAATAGGAAACTAGAAGCAACCTAAGGGAAAAGGAGAATTGGAGAAGCTCACTCTTGATAGTAAAACAGCTTCTTGGATGAGAAGCAGACCTTCCCAGTAGATCTAGGAAGATTGTGTAATCAAACTGGGACTACTACCCAAGGATCTGCTGGTGTCTGGATCTGGGTGGCTATGAGCTGTGATGGCACAGTAGTTAGAATGCAGTATTGCAAGCTAATTCTGCCAACTGCCAACAGTTTGGCAGTTTGAGTCTCCCAGGCTCCAGGTTGATTCAGCCTTCCATCTTCCTGAGGTCGGTAAAATGACCCAGATTGTTGGGGCAAGATGCTGACTCTGTAAACCACTTAGAGATGGCTGTAAAGCACTGTGAAGTAGTATATCAGTCTAAGTGCTATTGCTGTTGCTAAAACAAGGAGTGGGGCCATCTAGAGTTTGCGGAGTCCATTGAATTGACTATTGAAAAAAGAACCCTATGACAAGGCTTATAAAATAAGCCAAGAGGTAAATGAATACTATTGCTTGTCAACCTTCTCCAGACCAGTATTCTCCAGAAGTGCTGAATAATCCTTGCAACAAGAGGAGCTTGTGGAAGAATGCCACTCGTTTCCTGGCCCCTGCAAGCCTGCCCATGCTCAATTGCACCTGGCTCTGACGCCTGTCAGCCTGCCTGGCTCAGAAGACTCTGTGGGCAGCTTTCACCCATCCATCTGCAGCTTTCACCTGCTTGCCTAGAACTTTGGTCACATGAGATCCTTTCTTAATGAGCTGTGAAGTTTTTGGGTTACAGTGCCAACCGAGACAGTTGAGACTGCCATCACCATGTGATGCAATGTAACATCCTGCTATATGACCACATCACTTAGCAATGAAAATTCTAGTCTCAATTGCTATTAAAATCTGATGACTACCTGAACTTTGAAAGATCCCTGCCTATATATAGCAGGAAGAACACCAAATCACCTACAAGGGTACTCAAATTTATGCAGCTACCATATTCATTGTTCCCTTATCTTTAATCTGTAAACAATGGCTTATAAATAGTTGGTAAGCATTCTCATTTGCAGAAAGATAACACGATTCTTATAGTTTTTTTGTACTCTCTTGTCTCATTTTCATCTATTTATTCTTGTCATCAGGCAGAATAATTTCTTCCCCAATACCACAGTAATTCAGAATTTTGTATAATTTTTCTAAAAATTGCTTAATCAATTATCACCATTCACCAACGTGTACCATTGAACAGTTGCCCGTTTCTCATTATGGTGTAAGAGTATATATTGAACTAGCAGCAACAACCACACATAAAAGCCCCATCCCAGAAATAGATACAGTATCTTCCATCCTATCTGTAAGGGGAATCCCTCCGCACATAAACCTATATAAAGCATCAGAACTGAAATAGAAGTATTCACTGTCTTAAAGTAGATCTTTTGTGAATTGGAACTCTGTACAGCTTTAAATCAGTGTCTCTCAACCTTGACAACTTTAAGATGGGTGAACTTCAACTCCCAGAATTCCTCAGCTAGCCTGGATGGTCTTAAAGTTGGCGAGGCTGAGAAACACTACTTTAGCTCAAGGATAATTGCTGGATGGGTCATTTAGGTAGTAGATTTCATACAACATACAAAAGAGATTATAAAGTTTAACATATTTTTATATAAATAAGGTTATAACAATTTACCTTGAACTTTCTGGCAGACAAACCCATTTTTGTTCTCACAGCTTTCAAGGTACCACTTTCCCATTAAACTGAAACTTGGATTATTTAATATTGAGGTACATAGGACATCTTTTTTTTCAGTATCACCAATGTAATGATTCTGAAATTAATATATTGGGATAGGAATCAGTAGGAAAAGTCATAGACAAATTTTAAAATAAAACTGATAATCAAAGCATACATAAAAGAAAAATGGGAAATACCACAAAACACTGTACTACAGCTTTTTTCATTCCCCCTCCTCCCAGCTTTTTGGTCCCCTCAATTCACTGCCTTTCCAACAATCAATATGCACTGTTATTGGCTGCACTGCCCCTTTTCATTAGAGTTTTCTATGTTCTGCAATATTTTTAGAATTTTTTAAAAAATCTCAGTAAAACACATTGCAATATTTTAGCATAAGAGAGTGATACAGAAATAGAGTAAATAACACAGATAATAAAACTCATGTCATATTCTTATTGTTGATCTGTGCATGCAATGATGTATTCTTTGTTATTAGAAACACTTGATAGAATTGTTAGCAAATAGGAAATATTTAATTATGTTTACCCATAAAAAATTCCAATCAAACCTTTCTTTTGAGAGAGAGAATGAGAAACATACAGTTTTGCAGCAACAATTTTCTTGGGATTTTCCTTTGAGTTCTTGAAATGATCTTAGGTGAACCAAGACTATACATTACATGTAATTTCCTTTCACTGACAGAGTTTATGTTTGAATAATGAATAGGAGAGCTACCAAAGGACATCACTTTATTACTGAATTCATGAAATAATCTCTGGAAAGCAGAATTCATCAACAAGATCCCGGAATTCTAGTTTTGATTTTCTTCTTTGCTTATGTTAGAACTGCGCTATCAAATTCACTGATATTATGAACATTTTTGTCCTTTTCATAGTGCTATCCAAATTCAAATGGAGGAGGCTTGGAAGCCCCCATCTTACTGATAGTTCAGCATTCTATGGTTGTGCAAAGTGTTTAAAATATGTACTTCACAAAACTCCTTACACTGGACAAAGCATGTCTCATAGAAGCTTTAAAGGAGCTTCATCATCTCTGAGACTCATACAGCTGCTTTGAAAGGTGCTCCCATCTTCCTCTGCATGTGTGTGCAAGCCCAGTAATTTCATCTAATTGATGTGTTGCACATGCACACAGACATCCTTTGAAATAGCCCTGTGAACTTTGCAAATGACGTAATTGCTTTAATACTTTGGAGATGCTTTATTTGCACTAATCTAGTTTGCAAAGCACCAGAGTTGGATGCTGGATATGATTCAAAATGGATAAATCAAACACGTTTTAGACCACTGGCTAGACTGGGAATTAAGAAAAAAAATCCAAGAAGAAGGCAGACTATTTCCATAACACTTATAGCAAATGAACTTGATTCAAGAGCATTTTTATCTTTACCATTTTAATGAACTCTTGGTTATTCCTGATTAATATCTTCTTCAGGAAAGAGTTTTCTTTTTTTCATATTTTCTCCAGCCTTTCCCCTCCTCCTTCTATCTATGTAGGAAATACATTCATTATAAATACAATATAGGGTACAAAAAAGGTACAAAAAAGTAAGACTACATTGCCTTACCTGTGCTGGAAACCAGTTGGCATATTCCATTTGTTGTCCATTAAGCCATTTTTCATAACTATCACTCTGCAGACCAATCCAGACATTAGATTTATGTCCAAGTAAGTTCATTGCAATGAAAGCTAGAAAAGAAAACTAGAATTCAGAAACCTAAGGTCTGCTAAATCATCATTTTCAAATTAATAGTGATTGAAATTACACGAGATGAAAAGTAAGAAATGGATTTCCGGTTCCGGATCGCGGCGCTCGCAGCTGTGCAAGGAGATGGCTCTCCTTGCCAGCTGATTCTCCGTTGCCGGTAGACCCTTAATTGGGTCGAAAAGCCGCCTTGGAGGGGCGGCTACCAGTGAGGAGGTTCTCATCGTCCTTGGGAGAGCAGCAGCTTCTTCCAGGGACCGAGATTGCTCCTTTGGGCCGACGGTGGAAAGAACGGCCAGTAAAATGGCCGTTCATCTAGCTGCTGCAACCAGAAGTCAGAAGAACATTTAAGCACAGGAACCACCATGGTTGAGCCAGATGAGACTTTTTTTTCTCCCTCTCTTGGGTTTCTTTTTTTTTTATCCCTGTAAAGAGCATTTTTGAAATGATTTCCCTACTCTAAGAAGGCGACGTTTGTGAGTGTGGGGAAAAGAAGCTTAAATGGACTGAATTAATTTAAAGTGATTTTTTTTTCCTATTTTTATTTTTTTTCCCTTCACTTTGGGGTCTTGGAAAATTTTGTGAATATTGAATCTGTTATTGGACTTGAATGCTTCTTTTTTCTGTGTTTCCTGATCTTGTTTATGAGATTCCTGGTCTCTGGGAGAAAATTTTACATTGTACTGAGGACACCTTGTGGAAAAAGTTAAAAGTGCAACTTTCTCTTTTGCGGATTGGACTGACCTTGACTTTCAGATTATCATAAAAGGGAAAATACAAAGAAAATTAACAGCTGTACTGGTGGGGGTGGATACTGATTAGATGTTCTCTGAACACAGCCTCTACTAAATGATACAGACTGTTTTTGATTATCTTTGAAATGGAGCAACCCTTGGTTCAACTTGACTATAAACTTATACTGGAAAAACTTTATGAAGCTACTGATGAAATACATTTGCAAATAAAAGAATTTACGATGGAAATAAAAAATAGAAATCCTGCTTTGAACTTACAAACTGACTCCCAGACTCTGTCTGAGCACTCTATGGACCAAGAAACAACAGAAGCGGGATTAACTAAAGGTAAAGAAGATTCCATTTTACTTCATACGCAGGCTGATGAGATCTCTGAGGAATTAAAAAGGACTGTAATTAAACCACTTGCAACCCTAAAATTAACAGAAATGGACAGACAAACCCAACGAACTGAGAACGATGCTAGCTTGGATAAACAACTATTAGCTACAAAATTGGACGTAATTGAGCTAGCCACTCAACAGTTTCAAACGTGGAGATTGGACTTTGTCAAACAACAAGGGATTATTTACAAAGGAGCTAGGTTTCTAAAACAGAAAAGAAGACGTCTCTGTTTGATTCAAAGGACACTACAAGACATGAAAAATGACTTGCTTATTGATATAGTGACATTGTTATGGAAACCTGTTTGGCATAAAAGGAAAGCTAGAATAAGATTTAAGAATGGGATTGAAGATTTTATGTAATGATTTTAAAAGGCTTACTAGATATGGATTGATTTATGGCTTATGACAGTTAAATAAGATGTTAGATTGAATAAAAATTAATTAAAGGTCTGAACTTAATAATGTGTTTGTCTACGTATTAATATGTTTTGGATATAGTAACTTTGAGGACGTTAAAGAAATGTGATACTGATATTGAGGGATTGATTGTTAAATTATAAAGTATAATAGAAATAGAAAGGTTTTTTTTTTACTTTTTCTGTTTTGTTCGTTTTTTTTCTTTGTTCTTTTTCTTTTCTGATATGAACTAATATACTTTTTATATATATACATTAGAACTGATAGTTACTTTGTAATGGAAGAAGAATAGGGAAAAATAAGAATTGATATTAATAAATGTTTATTGAATATGTTAAGGAAAAAGGTAATGGGGAGACTCCCGAAATGTTAACTATGTACTTAGATTAGAAATATGGAATATAGTAATTGAAATAAGTAAACTTCATACAGGATCTGGGTTTGTGGATCTATTTAGATGAAAGGTTATTGAGGATTGATAGGATTGATCTAGTTGTATTGAAATATATCAATTTGAATATAATATGTTATTAGACGGAAAAGAGAGGTTTTTTTAAATGATTTAATCTGAATTTTATGAATATGACTTTGTTGTGTGGATAATTGATTGCCCTGCCACCACGTTGTTTCGTAAGCACTTGTCTGTAAAATGAAAAAAACAATAAAACTTGTTTGTTTTTTTTTAAAGTAAGAAATGCAGGCTGATACAACTTTTGGGGAAATCCAAAGTATCAATCTGAAAAGTTAGTTATCAAAGCCTCCTTTGGTTAGAATTACCATGGCCAGCTGCTAAAAAAGAACCTCAAACATTTAAAAAAGAACCTCAAACATACATGCCTTTTCAAGGTAAGCAGCATTGTATAAAGCAGAATACACTATACAGCCAATATAATTTGATCCTCATTCATTCTCTTTACATGTCCAAACCATCTCAAATGAGGATTTCCATGCTATTTCATTCCACACTCCTTATCTTTTAGTGTTTTATTTTGTCACTGACTGCAAAGTTCTTTAAGAATTCTATGGAAATGCCACTATGCTTTCCAGGTTAGAGAAGAAAATAGGTATCTAGGTTGAGGTCCCAGGAAATAGTTTTAGCTCTAATAGTTATCGAGGGGAGGTCTTAAATCCCAGGAAATGAGTTTAAATCTTCCCAGTACAAAGAGGTAGGAATTTATCCAAAGTTAAATAACTCTATAAAATGCAAATATATATGTGTTTTATAGCATTACTTACTTCTTTCATAGTTAAAACCAACTTATAACTGAAATGTAATACTTTTGGCTCTGTCTAAATGTTGAACAACGATATTTTACAGCCAATTGCAAGTGGTAAAGCTATTTTTTTTCTGATAGAAAATTATATCTAGTCTTCTATCAAGGATAATAAATATTCAATTGCAAGACATAAATTCACAATAGAAAACTTAGTCAAGAATTTAAGTAGCCTTATTTTGGATCCTCTCACTTTTCCTCGTATAATATCCAATACAGCTGTTGGATAAGTCCTACAAAATCTTATTATGCTTAAGGCCCAGAGGCTTAAATATAAATAGATATTAGAGGTGGTCTTAGTAATAAAATAAAATATGGAATATTTGTAAGAAGCATATTTATAATATTTTGATAAAGGTGTAACACACAGTATGGTACCTTGTTCAACTTCATTTTCAACTGACACAAGTGATGCATCATAGTAGCTGCAGGTTTTTTGAGCGGAATGCCAACTTTTTAAATGGGCTGAATCCTTTGGAATCTGCACCAGGAAACACTGTTTACAGAAAGAAAGATTGAATTGGGTGTTTAAGATAGCTACGAGTCACTCAAATAAAATTTTATTTGCAAAACTGGATAGGGGTAGGTTTGGAAAGAATGAAGAAGCTGAGTTAAAAGAAATGATAGACCATGCTTCTTGTTTAACACATTAATTGGAAAAGAGAAAAAGAAAAATAAACTACAATTTATAAATAGAATGGCAATTGAGAACACTCAGGAAGATAATCAGATTTTTTTTTAAAAAAAGACAGTTTTCTAGTGAAACATCAGATGGACACTGATTGATGGGGACCAGAGAATCAAGTTGGACTCCTGAGAGACTGTAGTACAGGTGGTCCTTGACTTAACAACAGTTCATTTAGTGAACATTCAATTACAACGGAACTGAAAAAAGTGACTTATGACCATTTTTTATTCCACCATTGCAGCATCCCCATGGTTAAGTGATCAAAATTCAGATGCTTGGTAACTGACTCATATTTATGGCAGTTGCAGTGTCCTGGGCTCATATGAGCCCCTTTTGTGGCCTTCTGACAAGCAAAGTCAATGGAGAAGACAGATTCACTTAACAACCAAGTTACTAATTTAACAACTGCAGTGATTAACTTAACAACTGTGGCAAGAAAGGTCATAAAATGGGGGAAAGTCACTTAACAAATGTCTCACTTAGCAACAAAAAATTTGGGGTCAATTGTGGTCATAAGTTCTGTATAGCAGAAGAAAACTTGACTATGTTGCTGGGTATGGTACTATTAACTGCTGTCTGTCTCTAAGACCACAAAGGCAGGAGGGGAAAGGTAAAGATAAATGGGATCACATTTATTTTCACATTGCTTTTAGCATTAACTTTAATAAAAACGTATTCAAAATTAGGTTACATCAAAGAGTAAGTGTGAATTTTCATTAGTAATGATCATAAGAGATGCACATCTTACTCTATAAAATATACTCCTCTATTACTCCTTTATTATATCAAATAACAAAAATTGCATTTGCTAGAATGATAAATATTGCCAAGGTGCAACTAAAAGCTAAGCTCTCTATTGCTCTTTTGAATATAACCCACATAGCAACAAGTAAAAATCAGAAATAATTAAAGTTAATGAAAAAGGATCCACCATAGTTTAGCACAGCATTATCCCACATGGATACTATATGGGTATCTTGTTGGATTTAGAAAGGAATAATTGTATTACTCTACATCCCTGCCTTGCTTTAATGTTCAAGATCTACAATTACTTGATTATAGATTCTAAGGAGATGTTCTTTAAAAAAATCAGAAAGTGGTTGCTTCAAGGGTGTTCCTGAAGGTTCCTAGTTGCATGTTTTTGATTACACATCAGCTGCTACTATTTCCTGACCTGCGTTCTTGTACCATTTCCTGAACTTGTTTTCTATATTCTAGTGTTCTCTCTTGCTGTTTATTCTATCCTTTACCACATTAAGCCAAATATACTGTATTCTCTTCTCCTGACAGTAATATTCTTTCTGAGTATCTGCTCTGAGTATCTGCAGTTTTATAACTGCACATATTCTTTTTAAAAATGTATAAGATTCATAAAGAAAAGATGTATTCTAGCAACACCAGAAGGCAGATCATGTTGAGTGAAAGATACGTACAAAAGCAGAAAATGAAATCAGGGAATTTCATAAAATATTTAAGTCACAGAACTAATCTTATCCCTGCTTTTCTAATCCATTTCTTTTCATTGGTCTAATGTTCAGGTGATATTTCATAGACCTGTTGGGAAAATTGGAGGAGGGAACATTATGTTTGTCCCCTTGAGTTGTACAAAAATAAAAAGGCAGGATATAAATTCAATAAACATACAAGCAAACATATCCAATGATGATGAGCCTCCAGGTTACTAATTTAAGAAATTAATTAAACCATAGTCTAATTATCTGGTAAAATCCCTGATATTTTGTCAGCAACTGTGACTGGCCACTTCGATTCACTATATCACATAACATTCTAAACCATGGATTAAAAACTAAAATAACAGTGTTCACTGCATGAACTGAAACAAAACTAAACAAGAGAATTTTGGCTTAGCATCACACTTGGGAACTCAGTCAAAATCTTTAGCTGAAGAAAACACACACAAAAAATGGGACATGTATTAGGTTCGTAATCTCATCTGAAGGATTACACGGTTTACAAATTTTGGGAAATTATCGGCCTTTGAGATAAAATGTGTTAATTCTTACATATTTTGATTAGATGAATTAGAAAACAGGTGATAAATGTGCTGGTTGGCTAAAGTTTTCAAGATATTTCACAATAAAGATTTATACACAGGCGAGTATATTTGCCAACAAGGGAGGGGGGTGTCTAATGATCATGGTACCTCGTAACTTCTCAACAAAGTACGGTAAAACAATGAAAATGGTACCACATGGAAGTGTATAAATTTAGTTTCACTTTGAGACTAAAGGTTATCACCTAACTGTAATTTATTGTTCTTTTATTACAAGGTACATTTGTCTGGGTCAGATCTACGCATGATACAGTTATATCTGGTGGCTTGTGAAAGTGTTATTGCATAACATTTCCCAGGAACAGTTGCGTGATATTTTCCCTCAGAAGCCAAGATGCCACAAAACTGTGTAAGCAGTGCAGATAACTTCTGCTACATTTGTGGAAAGGTTACATTTGCATCTCAAAAGTGCAGTATGACGGCAGTGATAAAAAAAGTCATATCACGTATATTTTGGATGCAAAATAGGGGATCAGGACAAGAGTTGGGCCCCTTAATATTGTTGTATTACCGGTAGATGTGCAACTTATCTGCATCATTGGCTAAACAAGAAGAAAAAGCCCATGCCTTTTGCAGTTCCAATGGTGTGGAGGGTTGCATCAATCATAGTAGCGGCTGCTATTTTTGCATGGTTCCCCCAATTGCAAAAAGGATCAAAGGAAAGAAGAAGTGGACCATGAAATAGCCAAACATTCCATCCATACTGCGTCCTGTTCCCCAGGGTGAGGACTTGCCAATTCCAGATCCACCAGAATCCTACTCTCTAGACTCAGATGATGATGAAGACAATGAACAGGATGGAGCTGATTCAGGGCTGTTGAGTCAGTGGACCCAAACTTTAGCCCACCGTATGCTCCTCCTGAACCACATCTAATTTCACAGAGTGAACTAAATGATCTGGTCAAGGATTAGAAATTACCTAAGGCTAAGGTAGAGCTACTGGGCTCCAGATTACAACAATAGAACCTTGTTGTTTAATCTGATGTTAGAGCTTGTCAGCTTTTCATGCAAAAAGCATGAAAATGTTACGTGAAAAACCAATAAATGAATGGAAATTTATGTTATTGGTACCAATAAAAAGATAATTTTATAATGATTGGTGTGGCACCATTCTCATTGCTATATCACCATTTTGCAGAAAAATTATGGAAAGGTTGCTGGCCAGCTGACTCACATTTATGACTGTTGAGGTGAGCCAGGGTCATGTGATCACCTTGTGCAACCTTCTGACAAGCAAAGTCAATGGGAAGGCCAGATTCACTTAACAACCGTGTTACTCATTTAACAACCACAGTGATTCACTTAACAACTGTGGCAAGAAAGGTTGTAAATTTGGGGGCAAAATTTACTTAATGTCTCTCTTAGCAACAAAAATGTTGGGCTTAATTGTGACTATAGGTCAAGGACTAGCTGTAATATTAAATTATCACTTTAGAACGAAGCAAATAATTTATTAAATTATTACATATATTTAATAATTTAAATACATAAAGACGTGCTTTTTTTGATTAGCAATGCACCTTTGGCCAACATACTACACTTAGGGTTAAGGTTAGGGTTAAAGTTTGAAACTCTGTAAGGTTTTTCTTTAAACCAGCAAGTACCTTGAATCCAAAGTACAGCCATCCTTTAGGACATGTTCCTTGATATTCTTCTTTCAAAATTTCTCTTTCAGTAATTTGTACATTTTGGCGCTTGCAGATACAAGGTAGAGAAATGGTACAATTTGCAAAGCCCCATTGTCCTAAAGGATGCAATAACATAATTAATAAAATTAAAATTACCCTGTCAGTATGGCATATTCCCTGTAATGGAATGTGTGGATGACCTTGGGGAAAGAGAGGAAAAGATGCTGCCTGGGAAACAATCAGATAACAGAGGCAGGAGCTCCAAGTGGCTTAAAGATCAGAGAAGGAAACATAAGAAGGAACCACCCTAATGGAGCAAGCAATTAAAAGAGCCAGTGGGAGTATATTCCTACCAAGACTGCCTCAAGTGTAATCATCCATACTCCCATAACAGTGAAAATGTAAAGCAACTCTTTCATATTTATTTATATTAATATAGAGGTAGTCCTTGGGTTATGCTGGCAATTGGGACCAAGATTGTTGCCCCTAAGCAATGCAATTGTAAAGCAGGACATCACGTGACCATATCACTTAGCAACAGCAAATTTGGGCACTCCTGGTTGCTGTCACAACCCCAAGATTATGTCATTATGTCATTAATGACCAACAGTTCATTAAGCAGGAGTGGAGGGAATCACCAATAAGGTGGGGGAGGCACTGGGAAGCTTGGCACAGTTTGCATACAAGTTGGGAGAGAGGGGTGGTGCTGCAGTGCAGTGTGAGCACAGGGAGACCGGGAAAAGGAGGCCATGGGTGTGAGTGCAGGGATGTTGGAAAAGGACTTACCACAGCAACTTGTGACTTTCCTTGCCAGCTTCCTGACTGATTTTGCTTGTAGGAACCCGGCAGGGAAGATTGCAAATGGCAATCGTATGACCACAAGGGTGCTGCAACAGTTGGAATTTTGAGGACCACTCTTTCAGCACCATCACATCTTCCCTGAATAAGTGGTTGGTAAGGAAGAAATTCTGTATTGCATTTCCTGACCATCTTTCAAAATGCACACTTCCTAGTGCCCAAGTGTTTTTGTCTCTGTCTTCCTTCAACATATTTGAATTTATTCTAAGATAAATTCATTGTACAGGTGTAAAACATAATTCTTCAAGTGTGGAGATGGCACTGTAAGAATTTGAGTTTCATAAAATGACTTGTCAATAACTATGTTCCCAGATCAGTAGGTAGAGAAGAACAAAGTAAAAGCAAATTACATATCGCACAAACCCTTTCCCAATATTAGATCATTTGACAGGCTAAATCAATTTATAAGAAGTCCTAACTTTTACAAAAGATTATATGGAACAAAAAGAGCTGAACAGGAAGCCAGCACACTGCAAATCAAAGCAGAGATGCTCAGCACCACATCTGTTTTAAATAACATTTTTTGGACCACCCAAAGCTTCCAGGTGTGTGTGCGTGTGTGTGTGCGCGTGTGTGTGTGTGTGAGAGAGAGAGAGAGAGAGAGAGAGAGAGAGAGAACATCTGAAGGACTAGCTGGCTTTGGCATTGGATGATACACCCACAGTATTTCCTTAAAAGTTCAAATATGTTTCTAGTAAAAATCAACAGTCCATTTCGTATAGACAGTGCTACTTGTATTATTTCCTGGGTTCCTCCTGCTGTATAAAATAAAAGCAGTCAATTTTTTAATCAAATCATTTCCAATATGATTGGTGGGAACTGAATGCTGAGCTCCCCTAACCTGAGCAGCCTTAAGTTTACTTTGCAGGAATCCTCCAAGGCAAGTATGGATGATGCCCAAGAAAAATTCAAGAAAGAAAAGTGCAGACAATATTATTCAATGGATATAATTTCTCGTGCCATGTTCAGTACTATAAAAAGTAATAAGATATTCTTGTTGGAATTAAGTGTTTGGAGCACGAAATCTGCATAGTATTTAAAGATTCTACAAATCAATATTCTCAGTTAAAAAATTGTACAATCTGGGAATACTTTTCATGATAACTTCAATTAAATATTTATTTAAATTTATATGGCCACCCTCTTAACATGGAATTCTGTAATTATCAATTAAAAAGCACAATCTAAATTTTTTAAAAATAGTGTACCAAATGTGGAGTGACAATACTTGTACCAGACATTGTTGGAGCTCACCCAACAATGTCTGGTACAAGAACCTGGTTTTCAGTGTCTTTCAAACATTGCAATAGTTAGAAGAATTCTTATCTAAGGCGATAGGCAAAGATAATAATAATAATAGTAGTAAAGTTGGAAGAGACCTTGGAGGTCATCTAGTCCAACCCCCTGCTCGGGCAGGAAACCCTACACCATTTCGGACAAGTGGCTGTCCAGTCTCTTCTTAAAAACTTCCAGTGTTGGAGCATTTACTGCTTCTGGAGGCAAGCTGTTCCACTGATTAATTGTTCTCACTGTCAGGAAGTTTCTCCTTAGTTCTAGGTTGCTTCTCTCCTTGATTAGTTTCCACCCGTTGCTTCTTGTCCTGCCTTCAGGTGCTTTGGAAAATAGCTTAATTCCCTCTTCTTTATGGCAGCCCTGAGATATTGGAATACTGCTATCATGTCCCCCCTTGTCCTTCTCTTCGTTAAACTAGACATACCCAATTCTAGCAACCGTTCCTTATATGTTTTAGCCTCCAGTCCCCTAATCATCTTTGTTGCTCTTCTCTGTACTCTTTCTAGAGTCTCAACATCTTTTTTACATCGTGGTGACCAAAACTGGATGCAGTATTCCAAGTGTGGCCTTACCAAGGCATTGAAGAGTGGTATTAATACTTCACGTGATCTTGATTCTATCCCTCTGTTAATGCAGCCTAGCACTGTGTTGGCCTTTTTGGCAGCTGCAGCACACTGCTGGCTCATATTTAGGTGATTGTCTACTAGGACTCCGAGTCCCTCTCACAGTTACTACTATTGAGCATGGTGCCACCTATGCTGTACTTGTGCATTTGGTTTTTCTTGCCTAAATGTAGAACCTTGCTTTTTTCACCATTGAATTTCATTTTGTTAGTTAGTGCCCAGTGTTCAAGTCTGTCCAGATCCTTCTGTATCTTAAGCCTGTCTTCTGGAGTGTTGGCTATTCCTGCCAGCTTGGTGTCGTCTGCAAATTTGATGAGTTCCCCATCTATCCCTTCATCCAAATCATTGATGAAGATGTTGAAGAGTACTGGGCCCAGAACAGAGCCCTGGGGCACCCCACTACACACTTCCCTCCATATAGATGCAGTTCCATTGAGGACCACTCGCTGAGTACGGCCGGTCAGCCAGCTACGGATCCATCTGGTGGTGGTTCTGTCTACCCCACATTTTTCTATCTTGTCAAGTAGTAGGTTGTGATCTACTTTATCAAATGCCTTACTGAAGTCCAAGTAAATTATGTCCACAGCATTCCTCTGATCCACTAATTTTGTCACTTGGTCAAAGAATGCAGTAAGATTTGTCTGGCATGATCTATTTTTGACAAACCCATGTTGGCTTTTAGTAATGACTTTGTTTGCCTCTAGGTGTTCGTTGATTCGTTGTTTGATTATCTTTTCCAGGATCTTCCCAGGTATTGAGGTCAGGCTGATAGGTCTGTAATTTCCTGGATCCATTTTTTTTCCTTTTTTGAGGATGGGAACTACATCAGCTCTTTTCCAGTCCTCTGGTAGTTCCTCTGTGTTCCAGGATCTTTGAAAAATATAGTTCAGTGGCTCCGATATCACATCTGCCAGTTCCTTGAGAACTCTGGGATGTAATCCATCTGGTCCTGGCGATTTGAACTCATCTAGGCTGGACAGGTGCTCACTAACCATTTTCTTGCCTATCTTAACTTGTGTTTCTGTTTTGTTTTTTATGGCACTATTTTTGATAGGTTTGTCTGTTTTTTCCCTTTGTGTAAAGACAGATGCAAAAATGAGTTAAATAGTTCTGCTTTCTCCCTGTTGCTTGTCACCTTCTTGCCACTTCCACCCACTAATGACCAATCATTTCCTTCACTTTTTTCTTGTTTTTTACATGTTGAAAGAAGCTTTTTTTGTTATTTTTGACTTTGGTCGCAAGCCTTAGTTCATTTTGAGCCTTGGCTTTCTTCACTTCATCTTTGCAGGCTCGGGCTATTTGCTGATATTCTGACTTAGTTATGTTCCCCTCTTTCCACTTTCTATACTTGTCCTTTTTATCTTTCAATTTTATCTTTCAATTCAGGATAAAATAACATAATTAGAGTGGAGATGTGATTTCGATTTAAGGGGTATAGTTACTTCTCCCTTGTCATGGTCGGATCACTTCCTGTTGAGGTTAGATTTCTCGATCCTACTCCCCCACCACAGGGAGGCAGAACCGATTAGGTGGTTCCGCCCCAGGCGTTTAATGGACCCGGAGGGGTTCCAAATAGTGCTTGGGGGTTTTCCTGATTCCCTCCTCCACGAACCGGCTGAATCCTTGGTCGCTACTTGGAATAAGGCGGCATCAGAGGTGTTAGACCGGATCGCGCCTTTGCGACCTCTCCATGATTGTGGATCCCAGAGGGCACCTTGGTTTACCGAGGAGCTATGGGAGATGAAGCGTCAGAAGAGACGTCTAGAGCGACGCTGGAGGGCTAGTAACTCCGAATCCAACCGGACACTTCTAAGAGCCTATATTAGGACTTATTTAGTGGCAATACGAGCGTCTGCAGAATCTCGCCCCGCCGCCCTGTTTAGGGTGACTCGTTCCCTACTTAACGTTCGGGAAGCCGGGGAGCCCTTACAGGGTAGAGCGGAGGAATTTTGGAATTCCTATCAGACAAAATCGCTCGGATTCGGACAGACCTAGACTTCGATTAGGCAGGGCCTTCTGAGATGACTGGGGCAGGTCTTAGCTCAGTTTTATGGGATGAATTTGAGTCTGTGACCGCTGAGGATGTTGACAGAGCGGTGGGAGCAATGAGCGCTCCACTTGTTTATTGGACCCGTGTCCTTCCTGGTTGGTCTCGGCTGCCAAGGAGGTGACACGAGGCTGGCTCCAGGTGTTGATCAATGCTTTGTTGAGGGAGGGGTCTTTCCCGCAATCCTTGAAGGAGGCGGTTGTGAGACCCCTGCTCAAGAAGCCTACCCTGGACTCGGCTGATTTAAATAACTTCCGTCCAGTCTCTAATCTCCCCTTTGTGGGGAAGGTTGTAGAGAGAGTGGTGGCGCTCCAGCTCCGACAGTCTCTGGATGAAGCGGATTATCTAGATCCTTTTCAATCTGGCTTCAGGCCCGGCTTCAGCACAGAAACCGCTTTGGTCGTGCTGATGGATGATCTCTGGCAGGCCCGAGACAGGGGTTATTCCTCTGTCTTGGTGCTACTTGACCTCTCAGCGGCTTTTGATACCATCGATCATGGTATCCTTTTGCGATGACTTGAAGGGGTGGGAGTGGGAGGCACCGTTTTACGGTGGTTCTCCTACCTCTCTGGCCAGTTGCAATCGGTATTGGTGGGAGGGCAGAGGTCAACCCCGAGGCCCCTTGAATGCGGTGTGCCACAGGGGTCGGTCCTCTCCCCCCTCCTATTTAACATTTATATGAAGCCCTGGGTGAGATCATCAGACAGCACTGGGTGAGGCTTCATCAGTATGCTGATGATACCCAGTTATATATCTCCTCCCCGAGCTCTCTCAGTGAAGCGGCCGATGTGATGGGCCGTTGCCTCGAAGCCGTGAGGGTCTGGATGGGGGTTAACAGACTCAGGCTCAATCCTGACAAGACTGAGTGGCTTTGGATGTTGCCTCCCAAGGATCATGTCGACTGTCCAGTGTTGACTCTTGCGGGGAAAAATATATCCCCTTCGGAGCGGGTTCGCAACTTGGGTGTCCTCCTTGATCCACAGCTGAATTTGGAACATCATTTGATGGCTGTGGCTGGGAGGACCTTTGCACAAGTTCGCCTGTTGCACCAGTTGCGACCCTACCTGGACCGGGAGGCTCTCCTTACAGTCACTCATGCCCTTGTCACCTCACGTCTGGACTACTGCAACGCGCTCTACATGGGGCTACCCTTGAAAAGTACAGTTGGTCCAGAATGCAGCCACGCGAGTGATAGTGGGTGTTCCTCGATACACCCACGTTACACCTATCCTCCGTGACCTGCACTGGTTGCCTATTGGTCTCCGGGTCCAATTCAAGGTGTTGGTCATTACCTTTAAAGCCCTATATGGTTCAGGGCCAGGCTATTTGCGAGACCGCCTACTATCTCATAGTTCCCTACGTCCGGTTAGATCCCACAGGCTGGGCCTCCTTCAGGTCCCGTCGGCCAAGCAGTGCCATTTGGCGGGGCCGCGGAGGGCTTTCTTTGTGATGGCGCCCATGTTTTGGAACCAGCTCCCCCCGGAGATTAGGACTGCTCCCACCCTGTTGGTTTTCCGTAAGCTGCTTAAGACCTGGCTTTTCCGGCAGGCCTGGGGTTTATAAAATCTGACCCCTGGATGACTGTTCTTGTACTGTTTGTTTTGTTATGTTTTATGTGTTTTTTATTGTTAGCCGCCCAGAGTCCTCCGGGAGTGGGGCGGCTTATAAATTTTAAAAATAAAAAATAAATAAATAAATTATGGAACCTCACCAAACGTTTCATATAATATTTTGAAATAATAAGAACCACATTCACCATGTACCTGTCTGGGAAGAAATAAAAGCACATTTTGGCCCTTGCGCTGGCTTTGGTCTCTCTTGATCTCCTGCCCAGTTCTGATATGATAATAGTGAGCCATCTGTCCATCTGTAAACAAAATTTAGATTGTATTTATTTATTAGAAATGACTTTTGAAGCTAAGATCACATGATGCAAGCATCCTGCTAGAGCTAAATTTCAGATCACTTTGCTACTTTTTCCAATAGGAAAAACAGATCAGGTATGTGACCACTGTCCCGTGTTGGGCTCTGGATGATCTGGTGCATGGCTGTCATGCAGGCAATGAACTCCTAAGCTACATCAGACACCGCTCCCAAAGGAAGGCAAGTTGAAATCCTCCAAGACCCATTGGTCCTTCCTCCATTTGGGGAAGAACTTATCTAATGTGTTTTTCACATTCCTAAATACACCTGGAACAGAATTAAAAGCTAAAATCTACATTTTCCTGAGTGCTGCTAAGTAGTTTGCAATTCAAAACTATACATAAACATGTACATATTAGGTGAAGTAGTGAAAAAAACTAATCAGCTAGGAAAAGTACTTTAAAAATGCATTGCAATGAAAAAGGGATTGTAAAACTAGAGAAAAATTAGTACAAATACATTGAGAATTTTAATTTTTTTTAAAAAAATACAAACTTATATAAAGCAAGTTAAAACCAATTTAAATCATTTCAGAAACTGAGATCCATTCATTTGTGATACCTGGATTGGAGATTTTCTGAAAGAATCTTATATATACCAGTACCACTTAAATTGCATTTAACACAGGAAATGCATACATACAATAAATATTTAGCAACAGCAAGTATTTCTTCATTTGGAGTGTTTATTAATGGTACATTTAACATTAATGACTGGCTATTTGTCAGGACTGCAATCCTGTAGGCAGTAAATACCACTAGGGTATTATGGAATTTAAATCTTTGTGCACTTAAAAAGGATAAGTGAACAAATCGGGGGATTCAGAGCAATCATGATTACTATTTACAAATTATACTGCAGTATATTCTATCTATAGTATTGTTAACTTTTCTGAACCTCGATCTCACTGCATCTATTTCTGTGCATTTTAAGATATATCAATGGGGGAACACTAAGGAATCCACCAAATTCACCCAAAAAAGAAATCTGTTTTAGAACCCTTACTTTTGCCAGAAAGAAAGGGTAAGAGAAGTAGGCTATCTTCTATATTATAAATACAGCTGTATAGGATATAGTTGCAATTGGGTTCTGGTTTGCTGCTTTTATATTAAATGAAAAGTAATTTCTAAGATTGGACAGGGAAAGTAAAATGTATATGACAATCTTACCGAAATTCTTCACTGGGTAATTCTGAACGCAATGCAATCCACCAATTGCTACTTTTTTTTGAAATCTGTAAAACATTTTACATTGAAGAAGTATTATGTAGATTTACTATTTGGCATGTATCCTTTAACTGGTTTATATGCTATGTATGACAAGAATGATAAAAATAATTGAAAAACAACAAAAAATTATAAATTACTGACACCAAAATATGCCTTTCCATTCAGAAATGTATCCCATTGAGTTCAGTGTAGCTTATTTCCATCAGAATAATTGGAGCCTAAATATAAATTATAGCACACATGAGATCAGCATATCTAATATACATGTATGTAATTCAGCATTTACTTCATACAATTACATATTGATATGACATCTGTGGATGCTAATTTGGAAGTATTATGGTTTGTGTGGTTACTGGGTTTTTTATTAATATTTATGGATAATTCCAATTAACTTGCTTTTAATTTTTTGCTAGCTGCCAAAAGTCCTTGAGGAATGGGGTAGATAATAAATAACGTTAAATAACTAAATAGAAAAAATAACATATTCAGTAGTTCTTATTGCATAATGATTACATGTAAGTAATTCATATGTACACAATAGTACCCAGAGTTGCAAAAATTATTATATGTTGAGCTAAAACACAGAGAATTGAAACTAAATTAAAATCCTACCTAAAAACACAATGGGATAGCTATTTTCAAATAAACATGGTTTATTGCAAGAAACAGTATTTAATACTTTATTCAATTCATTTTGAAACGTATATCCTGCCAAACATCTTTGAAAGGCATTATTGCTCTAATGATTTGCTGATCTGAATTAAACCAACAAAAATAAAGTAAAATATAATACGATAATAAAATCACAGAGAATAACAACCTGACTTAACAATTAGGGGATCATCCCCTTTTCTAAAGCTCTGCTGAAACAAAAGAATTTCACTAACTTTCAAAGAGGCTAGACTATAAAAATAAATGAACATAAAATATAAGTATAGAAGGGAAGAGGTCTTCTGCACATTTAACACTTTTGCAGAAGAAAAAGCAGGTGTATTTAATTATCCACACACAAAAAAGCTCCAAAAGTTGGAATTCCCCTTTCTGCAAATTCATTCAAGATGTAGGTGGTCCTGCTTTTACCTTCGCCATCCCAGCTAAAATTAGGGACATTTTTATGGTCACAATATTGCAGTAGCAGAAAAGGTTGATTCTTACTGATCTCTATCTCATCTCTGATAAGTATAGAAATCAATGTTTTGAAAGGTTACTAAAAACAGTAAAGCCAGAAAGAACTATCAAAGTAGCCTAAGCTGATGATTCAAAACCTAAAAATAGCAATATCTTGAAAAGTGCAAGAGTGAAAATGTTGCAACATTCATGGCCGGGATTAAAGTATTTTTAGCCGCAGTGACAATTTAAAGAAAAAAGGTTGCAACCCAGAAATGCCACAGTAGAAAAAGAATATATTGGCATTTTGTACATGCAGAAGCTGACTTAATTTCTCCATGGTCATCAGCTGTGCCTTTTGTTTATCTAGATCAGGGGTGTCAAACTGATGGCCCATGGGCCAGATGCGTCATGGCGAAACCGCATCCACCCAATTGCTGGCAATGGAAAAAGTTGCGATATGTCGCAACATGTCATGTGACATTCCGAGTTTGACACCCCTGATCTAGATCAACCTTTTGGCTTGGGTCTCACTGAGTGAAAAGGAATTGTCTTGGGCTGCATATAAAATACATAATGCAGTTAATGTATATAAATAATATACTAACGTTAAAAGTTTGTGATCTTGTAGGACTGTATTACTAGCTATGGCTTGCAGGCTGGACACACCTGATCTAGACTGTACTTAAGCCTTTAACTTGGCTCAATCCAAAGAAGCTACAAAATTGTATTTCACTAGTTGCTGCTATTTTAAATTGAAAATATATTTCAAACTGTGCCTTTTAATTTCTTGAATAATTATCTGTCTGTCTGTCTGTCTGTCTGTCTGTCTGTCTGTCTGTCTATCTATCTATCTATCTGGAAAAAAACGTGCTATGAAAAACCAGGAAAAATTATATATTACCTTTTTTATTCTGTTTTGAATAAATTCTTGTTCTTGAGAGGACTGTATGGTTGCTATATCCCCACGGAGCCAACCACACACAAACTGAAAACTGTCCCAGTTTGAGGGGCTGCCATAGAAAAGGTATTCTGCTCCTTGATAATAAAACCATGGTAACTCTAAAAAATAAGTTAGATACAATCTATTTGAATATGAGAAAATGTCTTGAGTTACATATTGTTTATTGTTAACGAACCAAATATCACAGACCTAATGCTCTACAAGGGCCAACACTATCAAACCTAATACAGTAGATGAGTGGATGCTAAACTACATTTATTTATTTATTTATTTATTTATTTATTTATTTATTTATGAGACTTATATACCGCTTTAAGTGCAAGTACTCTCTAAGCGGTGTACACCAGTAAGCAATGTATATATATATATTTACATTGCCCCCAACAATCTGGGTCCTCATTTTACCTACCTCAGAAGGATGGAAGGCTGAGTCAACCTTGAGCCGGTGAGATTTAAACCGCTGACCTGCTGAACACAGTCAGCTAAAGTGGCCTGCAGTACTGCACTCTAACTGCTGCACCACTTACCCTTGAGAGTTAAAGATTTAAATTTTAATGAACTAAGCATGTTCAATATCATTATCGTTCCATTAAAAAGCAGAAGTTATTCATATGCTTCATTTTCTGCCAGTGAAATAAATAGATTTAAATATGGTTGGTATAGCCCTAACTATATTTTACACTGAAATAAGAGTAATTATTTCTTTGAATGGAGCTTAACATGTAGAAACAATTGCAGATTCTCTGGTTTATATCCAGACAATAGCAGACTACTTAGCTAGCTATTTTTAGATGAATGCATTCTAAAATATACACAATTAAATATTATCTTTATCTTAGGAAAAGATTTCAATGAGAAAAAATTAAGCATTTGAACAACTACTGTATTAATATCAATGGAATAAAAGCACATCTAATATGTCATTGTAATTCTTCTTGGTCTTAAGAATGAAATATTTTGAGCTACAATTTATTGTATTAATCTTGTGATGACCTGTCTCCAACTCTTTGCCCCCATTTCCTTCTTCTGTGACTGACTGCAAATTTCACTTGTATTATGTTGCCCTGTAAACTACCAAGAATATAAAGAAGTTCCACATGCCCATTGTGCTGCTGAAATACATCAAGGATTATAATGTTCAATCATTTATTATACCTCCCTTGACATTGCCAATTGAATACCACACAGATCAACAATGCACTTTTGGGCTTGATGTAGAGAAACAAAACTTGTAACTCAATCACAAGATCACGTGGTAGAAATTTATCGGCAAAATGGCTAATATTTAACAATGTCATATTTGGGGGGTTTGGTGTTAAGTTAAGGGATTTTCATGAGGGTAGGAAAATTCTGGCAGGCAAAGAATTCTCATTCTTACAATTGAGCAAAAGCACCTAAAACAATAGTAAAGTGGGGGAAATCCCCTCTGTCCATTTTGCTCACAGAATTGATTCCCATGTCGGAGGCATCATTTAAGGTGCTTCCGGGTTTAAAGGATTAGCTGGTGACATTGCTATTGCCTGGGAGACGTCCATGGGGCTCCCTTCATGTCCTTGTCAATGAGCTGGAGCAATGATGGGAACTCACCCTGCCACACAGCAGCACTCGGGTCTTGAACGTGAGCTTGCTAACCTCCAACCCAGCACCTTAACTGCATGAGCCACCATGCTCCTACAGAAATGTTTTTTCAGGAAGCTTCCAATTATGCTATAGCTGCCTACTCCCCACTGCTTAGGATGAAATGGCTATTAAAATTTTGAAATCATAATTTATAGTTTAACATTTAAACTTACATAATTCTCCCTCCCTCCCTTCCTTTTCATCTTTATATCATCTGATTGAAAAAGTTGCAATTTATTGAAAACATGATACAGGTCGATTCTGGCAGTGTTTTTTCAACAAATTTTTACTAGATCTACCAATCTTCTTCAGCAACTCTTTGGAGGCAAAAGTCACTTCTTCACTTCCTCTATAAGTAAAACTATTCTCATTGAAAATCTGAATCAATCCCATCATTTAATAGCAAGATACTGGTAGAAGAGCTAAGAACAAAACCAAATCACCACAAATCACTTGTTAAGAGAAGCCCTTATTTTTTTCTAATCAACGCATCTTTCATAGCATTAATGCTTGCCCAGATCTGACTATAAGTGTCACCATCTGATATTTTAAATTGAATTAAGTACCATGTGCAGATAAGGATGCACTTCTAGTAGAAATGCTATTCTGCTTTTTGTTATTACTAAGTCATTTCTATAATATAAGAATTGCTTGCTGTTATTTTGAAATGAAATCTACAGGAAATCTGCCTGTTTGCTGAAAAAAGCCTCAAAAGATGCTTCTCGTATGTCCGTACACAAACACACACAAACACACATACATACTGTTTCAATAGTTGAAAAACATGTTTTTACCCATACCATTAATATACCATTGTGGAGTCTTGGGTTTCACACCTGAAACAGAAATAATGTTTTGGTTTGATGAATATAATGCAGATTTTTCTTCTTCTTTCCTCTTTTTTTGTCACTATTAAAATGTAATTTAACTATATTCTGGCATAGTGTCATTTTTTCCCCCTAGATATTCATTACTAAATTTCCATTAGCACATGACATTTTAAAGTAATACATAAAATATATAGGCACCAATTTCATAAAAGCGAATAGTCTGTTATGATTAAGAATAAAGAAACATCCAGTTGATACTGTCCTGCAGACTGGATGGAGCTGTCCTATACTTGAACAAGCCATAGAAGACCATGCAGCAGGTTCCTTTTAGATATGTTAAACTAAAATAGACATTTTGCCCAACCCAAAGAGCTGGTAAGACTGGTCTATTCTGACCACAGCTTTCAAAGGAATCCAATTTCTCCAATTTCTAAACCCTTTATTTAAAACTTGAAATACAGGTTGCTTATTCACCACTTGTTCAGCTACCATTCAAAGTTATGAAGGCACTGAAGAGACTTATAACAGGTCCTGGAAACTTTGGCAATCAGTGTCCCCATAGCCACATGACTGTGATTTGGACACTTCACAACTGGTGTGGTATTTACAACTATTGCAGCATCCAGTGGTCACATGTTTGCCATCTGTGATCTTCAGAGCCACCTTCTGGCAAGCAAAGTCACTGGAGAAGCTGGTAGGAAGTCACAGGTTAGGATCATGTGATGTGGTACTTAACATTCATGTGATTCACTTGACAACTGCAGATGGAACTGATAACATAAGTTGGTACAATCATACAAAATCATGTTTAACAATTGCACTGGTTAGTGATGGAATTGTTGGTCCCAAGTGTGGTTGGTAAATTAAGACTGCTTAATATTGATAACTGAATCTCAGACTTTCTTCATGCAAAGACTGATCATTTTAGGAAGCATATATTGCAAGACATTGTTCAAATTCTTCCTTACCTTTTGGTATTTTACATATCCATTCATGTTCTGAATTGCAGTGCAGTGGCAAAACAGTTCCATTAGTTTTATATGCGGCACAGTTTTTCACATTATCTTCAATAGACGCTTTCTCTAAAAAGGCAGATGAAACCTGCCACAGAAGTATGCATTAAATCTGAAGCATGATATAGAGACTAACTTTAATATTTTAATAAAGAATAGCATATTGTGAGTTAATTGTGTCTTATTCAATAACTCTACGGTTAAACAAAACATGGCTTATTGAAATATACACATCTGGTCATAGAATGAACACGGAATTGAAGATTTTTATTAGTTAAAAAGACTGTGTGTGTATGAATCATGAAAAGAATCTAGTAGAGCAGTGGTTCTCAACCTTTCTAATGCCGCGACCCCATAATACAGTTCCCCATGTTGTTGTGACCCCCAACCACTTATACATCACCGGGTACCAGGGGCATGGCCAAAGAAAAGGGGAAAAAAATGGCGGACAGCCTTGTTTGGCGACCCCCATGAAATGGTTGTTCGACCCCAAATGGGGTCCCGACCCACAGGTTGAGAACCACTGTAGTAGAGGTTTTTCTTCAGTCAGAAGAACTTCCAGCTAATGCTCCCAATTTAAATGACACTCTTCTATATATCACAACTTTCTGTATGACATCACATCTCCTTGCAGAAGATTCTAGAACTTTGAAAAGTGTGAGTGTGTATGTGTGTGTGTGTGGGGGGGGTTGTACAGGCATTCAGAAGAGATCAACAGAGGTTCCTCTACCCTGTTGTAATAAGAAGTGCCCCTTGAGCAGTCTGCATATTTTTAAGTAAAAAGTTTAACAGTCTACCAATCAATTAAATATAGAAAATCTCCATAGAAAAGTACACACACAGACACAGGCCCATGAAATGTCAAGATCATTATTTATTAGTTTGTTTGTTTGATTGATTTGCTTGCCGCCCATCTCGCTTAGAGGTTACTCTGAGCGGGACATAAGCTAATTTAATTGCAACTTATATTCCTTAAATCCAAATTCTGACCCTATTATCTGGTGCTATCTTTCATATTTATTTATGTATTTATTTACTTATTACTTACTTACTTACTTACTTATTAACCAAATTTATAAAGCCTTATTGGAACTCAGACAAAGATGATTATAAAATGAGAACTATTACTGTCCCTAATTTTTTTCGTTGATTCTTAAACAGAAAGACCTCCAGAAAGTGACTGAAAAACTGATAAAGAGGATCTGTTCCAGATATTGGGAGTGTCTCCCTATGTAAATTAGCTTGATATCATCCTGAGGTCAATATACATAGGTAACATGACTTGTTTAACACCATTATATTTTACAAGTTGGGGGAGATTATTTGCTAATATCTGTCAAACCTGAAAAAGAGCTATTAAACAAAGATTAGATTAGTTAAGGAATAAAATGGGGTAGCCATATTGAAGTCATTTGAACTATCAAAAATTCAGTTCCTTTTTACTTGTTTGCCACTCAGGTAAACCTATTAAGCAATCACTTTATAAGTCTTGAAGCAAAAATGTGGTAATGCATTAGGAATCTGTGTGCCATGCTAAAACTTTGATATCTTTTGTACAATTTTTCCTGTTAAAATTGTAATAGATTCTGTATGTTTTTTCAAAGGGACAGACATATTTTGCTTCAGAGAATTATTACAAGATAAAATACTGTGGATTTAAGATCTCAAGAACACATTATGTCTATAAGGAAGTTTGACAATATACCAGAAGTCCTTAACTTACAACAGTTCATTTAGTGACCGTTCAAAGTTACAACATCATTGAAAAGAGTCACTTAAGAGCATTTTTCACATTCACAACCACTGCAGCATTCATTCAGTCATGTGATCAAAATTCAGATGCTTGACAGCTGACTCATTCTTATGACGGTCACAGTGTCCTGGGTCATGTCATCACCTGTTGTGACTTTCTGACAAGCAAAGTCAATGGGGAAGCCGGATTCACTTAACAAACATGTTACTAATTTAACAACTGCCGTGATTCACTTAACAACGGTGGTCAAAAAGAGCATAAAATGGGGTAAAACTCACTTTACAAATCTCTCAGCAACAGAAATTTTGGGCTCAGTTGAGATTGTAAGTCAAGGACTACCTGTACTTCAAAAACCATATCGTTCTTCTGTAATTCTTAAACTAATAAGTTAACTGGAATAAGACACACAAAGGCATTTTTACAGATTACAGAACAATCATTAATACTAGAGAGAAAGCCGCTAAAGTAAATTGAACACAACCCAGTTTCTTGTCTAACTTTGTAAGATGATGAGTAAATAAAATAATATTTACAGGAGTTCCATCAGACCATTCCCAGGATCTTCCAGATAATGGATTCCTTTTGCTAAATCCAATCCAGAATTGTCTTTCATCATCTCTGTGGTTAAAAAGAAATAAATCCCATGACACAAATGCAAACTATATATCTTTTATCTTGATTTATCTTCAGTTTTTCCAGTACTTATGCATATATTTTAATATTTTCTTAAATTGGAATAGATCATATGCTTGGCACTGTGATGAAATCTTTGAACTTCTGAGGTTTTTGAAAAAATATGGCAAATAGTGTAAGCCAGTGGTCCCCAACCTTTCTGGCTTTGCGGCCTGGGAGTGGTGGTGGGGGGGAGGAGAGGGGATAGTTCTGCATGAGTGGTGGCGAAAGTGCATGTGTGCACAGCTCTATTTGCGCAAGTGGTGGGCGTGCATACATGCCGCTCACGCAAATGGAGCTTGTGTTGGTTGTTTCTGAGATGTTTTTGATGTGCGGTAGTGTGAAAAGGATACTTTTTCATAGCTTGTGTTGGTTGTTCTGTAGTGGATTGAGGGGTCAGGTACTTTTAGATAAAATTGTATGGGCATCCTTTTTTGCTGGAAAATGTTGTATAAGCAATCTGTTTCCTTCTTCTGGTGTTCTGGATTGCTATAGTGTGTTTGTACTCTGTTATACTGCATTCCTAAAATAGAAACAAACAAACAAACAAAAAAACCAGAGTAGATCCTCTCCAGCAAACAACATTCTGATGTGTAGGAATGAACAACAGAGAAACAATCAGGCATAAAACAATATCCTAATCAAGGAACCACAAAACAGCACACCCATACCAACACTGGCAAGGCAAGCTACTGTATATAAACAGGGAGCGAATCTACACTCATTAGCAACCATGATGTTATCTGGTCAGATAATGAAACTTCTACAAGCAAATAACCATGCCAGAGAGCACCAAGGACTCCACAGTAAAGGAACCCCCCCCCGCCCTATAAACAAATATAGAAAGCACTGACAATTGGAAGCAAATGCTGCTGTCCTCCCTAATTACCTATTATCATTACAATGAAAATATGCCATTTGTGTTGGAATAAATGTTAAAGTAGATCACATAATCCTTTTTTTCCAATTGTGGAAAAAATCCCAGATCCAGTAATAAACACAAAGACTTACATATGAAACATTGTGTTTAAAAGTTTGTTTAAAAATTCCTCTTCAAGGACTTGTTTAAAACTGGCAAGATGTGCTCCAAAATCTTGACACAGAGTTTCTGCTTCCTCCCAAGTTCTTTTCATTAATACTTTTTCACTATGGAATACCTGTAAAATAAGTTGAACACTGAAAACTGCCTGAAAATATATTGCCAAAGCAAAATAGTGATGATGATGATGATGATTATGATAACAACAGCAGCAATAACAACAATAATAAAAATGTAGGTGGTTGGAAATGAAAACTTGGGTTTGTCAACATTAATAAAAGCATCTTCCAGGATGGCTTATTATCACCCTTATTATTTGTCACTGCTATGATGCAACTTCTAACTTGATTCTGAAGAAAACAAATCTTGGCTATCCAACAGGAAAAAAATGTTAATAAAAATCTCACCTTTTTTATACAGATGATCTGAAGTTTTATGGAGAATCAGAAATTGAAATCCAGTCATTGACAAACTTTGTAACAACTTTTAGCACAGATATAGTAATGGAATTTGACCTACAGAAATGTCCTACAGTAGCAATAAAGCAGGATAAAATCACAAATAGTAATGGAATTGAAATACCAAATGGCCAAACCATCAGAAGCCACCAAGATGAAGCCTGCTAGTATCTGGGCATTTTATAGATAGATAACATCGAGCATGGACAAGTTAAAAATGTGAGATTAGTAAGAATACATCCAAAGAGTGAGAAAAGTGCTAAAGACAAAATTAAATGGTGGAAGTACCATCAAAGCCATCAGTAACCTGGTCATACCTGTGATATGATATATTACTGGGATTATTAACTGGATAAAGCTGAACTAGACAGTTGGACCAAAAAACAAGAAAGCTAACAACTATTCTCCATGCATGAGATTCCCAAAATGATACGGATAAATTATACCTGCCCTGCAGAGATGAGGCAGAGATTTACTTCAAGTCAAACAAATTATTGAAGAAGAAAAGCATGCATTTCCATTTTCATGTAATCAGCATGTTGATTTAAGAACAAGTATTGATGTAGTTAATGTTAACGCATTAAAACTGGGACTTACTGAACGTGCAGGAAACAAAACATGAATATCAAAATAATCATAAAAGGAGTAGGGCACTGGCAAGAACAAGCATTACAAGGCCAATTTCTACAAAGGATAGAAGGGAAAGTGGATAGAGATAAAACCCAGCAATGGCTTAAAACTGGAACTTTAAAAAAAAGAAACTGAAGGCTTCGTTTTGGCTGCTCGAGAGAAAGCTATTTAAACTAATGCAATCAAGGCCAGAATTGAAAAACACACTATAATGTGAGAATATTTTTTGCTATTGTTTTGAAATATTGTTTTCTATTGTTTTCTGTATCTATTGCAATCTAAGATTTAATATTGAAAATATAAAACATTATAGCAAAGATACATCCTATGGCAGTCAATTATGTTACGTTATCCAAATCACTCCTCTGCTTGTAATCATACAATTATGTTTTCTCTGCATCAGTTTTATTCCAAAGCCTAAATTTTATTATTTAGATTAAAGACACATGATAACTGAAAGTTTTTCTTCCATTATTTGAAGTATGTTTTAACAACTAAAGTTGATGAAATGGCAGATAATGCACTACATGGTATCTTATTTATTCATATATATAGTAATATGAATATTCATAAAACTGGACTAGGAAGAAACAGTTTAGAAAAGAGTATTGACATTATTGAATTTTGGTGTTGGAAAAAAGTGAACATCATGGATAGCTGAGAGAACAAAGAAATCTCACAAATAAATACAGGATTCTCACTTGAGGTATAAATAACCAGGCCCAGATTTTACACTTTGGGCATGTGAAGACCTGGCTCTCTAGAGAAGACACCTTTGTAAGACCTGAACGATCAAGTTAGTGAAAAATCACCATGAAGAAAATTTGTTTGTTGTATGTGATTGTTAAGAATTGATGCTGACTTGTCAGCACATAATCCATTTGCAAGGAGCATCCACCATCAATGAAGGTGTCTTCTAGGAAGGCAGCTTAATCCTGAAGAATCACAATATATAATAAAATTTTACTAGCCTATTCTCTAAATTTAAAAAAAAAATTAGAGGTATTAATAATAAAAGCAGACTATTGATTTCAGTGTTACACAATTTTTTATTATTATCCCATGTTTTATTAAAATGGCAATGGATCTCTAGATTCATTTCATTTGGGTTTCCATGACATTGTTCAATATTTTTCACCTTGTAGCAATTCAGCAGATAATGGTCTGATTCCCATCCACGCATGCAAGAATTAAAACTTTCCTCATAATTTGGTTGTTTATTGCTATCACTTTTTTCATGGAAAGAAGCTTCTTGTTTACACAATGATTTAGCCATGAAGGTTGCACAATTTTTCACCTCCCACATGCCGATGGGTTCTTCCTGTCGGATAACAACACATCCTCCAGGATATCCTAAAATAGGGTAGACGGTGCGAAGATATTTATCAATAAGTACAACTATTACTTTTTCTAATACAAAATGTACCTAAAATGTACCAAATCATTAATGTTAAGCATGTTTGTAATATTATAGACTACAATTTTATCTTCGTTACTAGAATGTTGACTAGTAACTAAAATTGATCCTGGAAAGGAAAAAGATTTTAACTTTTTTAGCTATTTTAAACATTATGATGTTACAAAGGAAATGTAGTTGTTTTTTGGCATTAGAGATTTTTTTTCCCTTATTTGGCTTAGAAAATAATTTTAGACAAAGACTTTCAAGGCTGGGTGGATGAAACTAAATCTAATTTATGACAGTACTGTATGTTTTCAAGTATAATCTATTCTGTCAAATGTTCAGCAAGTAAAGTTGCCCCATTTATGTTTGCAGCTCAGTGTTTAAGTTGTAAATAATACATGATGGAATACAGACATTAGCTGGTTCAGTATTATTTATGCAATATAAATTAAAATTATTGACATGGTAATTTGGATATTATCCAAATATTGGCTATGGCGAGTTGGCCATGGCAAGTTGTCCTAAACCCCTCCCCAAAATACCGACACTGAAAATTATCTAAGAACTGTTCTAATCATGACCAGAAATATACCTTTTAAATATTTAATGTGCTATAAAAATATAAAGATTTGGAAATCAAAGTAACTATACATTATTTGGCCATTATCTAGCTGACATACACTTGAAACCATGTTGCCATTCTCTCTGTCATTCCCTTTGCTACAACTTGATCATAGTTGTTATTACCTCAGTTGGGTGTCAGAATCTATAGTATAAAAGTATAGGTACTGCCAAGAAACATGGAATTTTCATATCAAAATTTTGTCATAAAACAATTTACTGAAATATTCTTGAAAAAAAAATGCAGATTTTTTTTTTAAAAAGTCTTCTCTGAGTTGATCTTAAATCCAAGAGACTACCTGGACATATATAGACTGTTTCCTTAGCAACAATATGTTTGCTGCTCGTTTTGTTTTTTTACTTATTTAACTCCCCACTTTAGGTTATTTTCTGGTAATATCTTAAAGTACTAATCAGGTTTGATTCTGACAGGTTTTGAAATCAAACAAAGTTAGATAGGTCCCTCTAATTCCTTAATTATCTTGGATAAAAATATAATGCCACATAACAATGCTCTGAAAGCAATTTATATTTTCACTTTATTTAACCAGTAGAGGTCACTCTTGAAAAATAAGAATAATTCTCTTCAAAAACTAAAAATGCTCTGTTTCAAGTATACATGAAATTAATAAGTGCCTTATGTTCCCAATGCAACTTTAAAATTATATACATAGAGACATATATATATATATATATATATATATATATATATATATATATATATATAAAACAAGATAGCTGGAATTGGGCATGTCTAGTTTAATAAAGATAATGACTAGGGGTGAATGATAGTAGTGTTCCAATATTTCAGGGGTTGCCACAAGGAAGAGGGAGTCAAGCTATTTTCCAAGGCGCCTGAAGGCAGGACATGAAGCAACAGTTAGAACAATTAATCAGTTGAATAACCTGCCTCCAGAAGTTTTTAAGAGACTGGACGACCATTTCTCTGAAATGGTATAGGCCCGCAGTGTTTCTCAACCTTGATAATTTTAAGGCATGTGGACTTCAACTCTCAGAATTCCACAGCCAACATTGCTGGCTGTGGAATTCTGGGAGTTGAAGTCCACATGCCTTAAAATTGTCAAGGTTGAGAAACACTGGAGGGTTTACTGACTGAGCAGGGGGTTGGACTAGAAAACTTACAAAGTCCTTTCCAATCCTATTATTATTATTATTATTATTATTAATCTCCTTTTCTATTGACTTCATTTTTTAAGCATCCTGATCTTCTCCAATGTCTCCTATTTCACATTATAAGTTTTTAATATTTTAATTTTTTTGTGAATAATTCCAGTAAGCAGTTTAGTCTAGTTTTAATAATTTGTTATTCCCAGCATTTTCTCCAGCATCATCACAATTGAAATAATTTTTTTCTTCAGCATTTCTGATGATCCAATCTTCAGTCATATGTTACCAGTGGGAAAATTGGCCTTGAAAATACATATATTTTTGTCAATGTGATGTTTCTGCACTTTAATATTTTGTCTAGATATATTGACCTTTCTTCCAAGCAGCAACATCTCTTTCTATAATGATCATAGAGTCATCATAGAGGCATGATGATCATAAGTCATCATGCCTGTGAATTTTTGAGCCTACACTTTTCAATTTTTTTTTCTCTCTATTTGGATTTGTTGTCACTGTATATTGATATAATTGTAGCGTTACCCCCCTCAGAGGTCGCCAAAGCCCAGGCCCTCCGAGCCCCACTCCCCTCTGTCACGCTCAGAAGCTGCACTCTCGAGACATTAATAAAGTGTCTTTTCCAGTGGGAGCTCACGAAGCAAGAAGGTGATAAGATTCTCGTCGTCAAGGGAGGGCTTCCAGGAATGAAAATAACTGATAGTCAATGTGTGGTGGTGTTTAACAGCCCCCGGCAGTCATAGCAGCAATAGTCAATGATTTTACAGCGACCATTCAGAAACAAAGGGGTGGGGAAAACCCCGGCCCCAGGCAGCATTGGGAACACGAACAAAGGTGGTCAGCGTTCGGCAGTAACAGCTCGCCCTGCGAGGGCAACTCCCCACAATGTCTATAACTTGTACAAGTAACAGTAATCAAAGTTTGGGTGGCCGCTAGTCTCCAAGGCAGTAGCGACCAGCTCTCCTTTTCTTTTGCTGTTGCTTGCAGTCCCAGGTCTCATTGGCATCAAAAACCCCTCGCCCCTTTTCTTTATTGTTAAAATCTGAATTTAGCAACCCCAGCAATTCTCTCTCTCTCCCTCCCTCTCCCTCTCTCTCTCTCCTCTGCTCAGGATATCCCCCTTGCGAAAGAAAGCAATAAAATTCCACCTTCTCTCTCACTCTCTCCTTCCCTCTCCTTCAAAGAGAGGGATCAGCTAAAACCTTAAATCCCTCTACAGCTTCACCTGGTTTCTCCCTGACAACAGCAACAGCAACCATCCCTACCACCTTTCTTTCCTCCTTTTTCTTTCCTTCCACCCTATCCATGCCCACCGTGCCCAAAACCGGCAGCAGCTGTTTGAGCTTCCCTCTCCCCAGGCAGGCTCCCAGAAAGCCTTTCAGGTAGCCCCGCTACATACTCCCCCCACCTAAGCAGTTTCTTTGGTCCCCCAAAGAATAGCAAACTATCTGCTACGAATCTATATTATCCAGGAGCGAATCAACCTTCATTACACAATAAGCATCGCTCTCGCTCTCTCTATGCCAGCGGTTCTCAACCTATGGGTTGCGACCCCATTTGGGGTCGATCGACCATTTTTCGGGAGTCGCCAAAGAAGGCGATCCGCCATTTTCCCCCCTCAGTGGGCGGTGCCGCGCATGCGTGCCGTGCATGGGGGCGGTGCCACGCATGTGCGCCGCACATGGGGGCGGTGCCGTGCATGCATGCCACGCATGGGGCGCCGCCACGCATGCGCGCCGCGCACGAGGTGCCGCTGCGCATGCATGCCACACTTGGGGGTGCCGCCGTGCATGCGTGCTGCGCATGGGGCGTGCCACGCATGCACACCGCGCATGTGCAGAACATTTGTGTGACGGGGGTCGCCGTCACACAAACATTGAGAACCACTGCTCTATGCTATGGCCCGAGGCATTGTATGTTAATCTCTTCACCCTTCAAATTCTTCCTCAATCTATCTACATAATTATGATGTGACCTCATCCACTGAAGTGCCAAAGACTATGTCTACCGGCAGGCGGGCTTCCCTACCAAACATCAACCAATACAGGGAATACCCGGTGGCATCATTCCTCGTGCTATTATATGCATGCACGATGGTAAAAATACGTTGTGTCCAATGTTGCTTCTGTTCTTCAGTGAGTGTCCCCAACATATCCAAAAGAGCAGAATTAAATCTCTCAGGCTGCGGATCTCTTTGTGGATGATACGGGGTGATACGGGACTTCTGAATGCCCAGTAAGCCCAGTAGTTGCTTAATAAGCCTGCTTTCAAAGTCTCTCCCTGGATCAGAATGTATGCGCTGAGGCAGCCCATAATGAACAAAAAACTTCTCCACCAATACTTTGGCCACCATGACAGCGTGCTGATCTTTTGTTGGGAAGGCCTGAGCATAACGAGTAAAATGATCAGTCACAACCAATATGTTTCCTCACCCCTTACACCTGGTTCCAGGCAAAGGAAATCAATGCAAACCAAATCCAAGGGCCCATAACTTTGCAAATGGCCCATAGGTGCAGTCCTTGAAGGTAGGGCTTTCCTCTGAACGCAACGCAGACAAGATCTACAATAGTCCCCAATTTCCACATTCATACAGGGCCAGTAGAATCGATCCATTACTAACTTAAAGTCTTTTCCGGCTCTAAATGCCCGTGCAATCAACACTGTTTCTCTGTGTTTCTCCGGAAGCAGAAGTTGCCACCTTTCTTCACGTCCATCCAAAGGGCCCCTCCGATAAACCACTCCATCACAAAGCTGTAAGCATTTAGCAGTAACAGCTCACCCTGCGAGGGCAACTCCCCACAATGTCTATAACTTGCACAAGTAACAGTTATCAAAGTTCGGGTGGCTGCTAGTCTCCAAAGCACTAGCGACCAGCCTCTCCTTCTCTTCTGTCGTTGCTTGCAGTCCCAAGTCTTGTTGGCGTCAAAACCCCCTCCCCCTTTTCTTTATTGTTAAAATCTGAATTTAGTAACTCCAGGAACTCACTCTCTCTCTCTCTCTCTCTCTCTCTCTCTCTCTCTCTCTCTCTCTCTCTCTCTCTCTCTCTCTCTCGTCTCTGCTCAGCATATCTCCCCCTGCGAAAGAAAGCAATAAAATTCCACCTCACTCTCTCTCACTCTCTCCTTCCCTCTCCTTAAAAGAGAAGGATCAGCTAAAACCTCAAATCTCTCTGCAGCTTCTCCTGGTCTCTCCCTGGCAACCACCTCACCACCTTTCTTTCCTCCTTTTTCTTTCCTTCCGCCTGATCCACACCCACTGCACCCAAAACCAGCGGCAGCTGTCCAAACTTCCCTCTCCCTGGGCAGGCTCCTGCAAAGACTTTCAGCCAGCCCCGCTACATAATCTTAAAGAGTTTTTTTTAATACTAAGCAGCAGATAGGTTTTTATACCTCTTCTACCTTCAGCAACAATTTAGCTAACTGTTCTTTGCTTCCAGCTATCAAAATGATGTTAGTAAATTACTGAAGTTCTTGAGTTTAATTTCAATTTCTTCTAGTTCAACATTTCTCATGACAGATTCTGCATGTAAATTAGATTAATAAAAAAGGTGACAGGATACAACATTCTCACCCTCCCCCCTCCCCCAATTTTGAGCAATTTAGATGTCACATATTCTTCTCTAACTGCTGCTTTCTGATCTTTACACATTTTTTTCAATAGACAGAAATGGTGCTCAGGTACATCCATGTTTTTAAGAGTTCTTCATATATACAATTAAGAAGAGGTGACTACCGGCTTCTAGTTCCGGTTTTTGACACTGGAGGACACACGGAGAGATCTCTCTCCCCACTGTCCGGTTTTTCTCCTTCGGAAGACCCTGGAAGGAGTCAAAAGTCACCCTGGAGGGGTGACCACTGTTGGGGGGGACTCTTGCTGGATCGCGGAGGGGCGGCAGCCTCTCCGTTTGATCTGCAGTAACTCCTCAGGACCGAAGAGGAAAAGAGTGGCCATTAACATGGCCGCTCACTTAGTTGAACCAGCCGAAAGCCCAAAGCACCATCTAAGCATGAAGAAGCAATTGGAGGAGTTGGGTGAGACTCTATTTTTCCTTTTCTCTTTCCCAATTACTTTCCTAAAAAAATTTGAAATATCCCTTTCCTCCAGCTGAATTGCGCAGCTTTGTTCATTCCGGGAATTTAAAGCCAAGAAATACACACACACACACACACACACACACACAGGAACAACAAGATTAAATGACCACTTATCTGGACTTGTAATATCTGGATACCTGTGCTCCCTAAAAGCTCTGTAGCTCAACAAAAAGTTACTCTATGGGTAGTATGTTCAATAGTTCAGATTTTGGTGATAGAGGATTGCTCGGGCATTTTCCCTCAGACCGCATCCAATTGAGAAGAAGAGGAGAGGGATAAGTAAATAGAAAGATGGAGGAGAGAGGGAGGGGAGGAGAGGAGGAAGTAGAAGGAAGGGGGAAGTGAAGAGATGAGAGGGGGATGCGGTCTGGGGGGGAAATGAGTGAGCAATGTCGGAATTTGTGTGTTGTATTTTAACTTCTTATGTATCTGAATTTTTTTTCTTATGATTGTAATGAAAATAAAATAATAAAAATTAAAAAACAAAAAGTTACTGCTTTACTTTTTTGTTAACTCGGGAAAAAAAGGGAATGTTCTTTGTTTCCTCTCCTGAACTGGAAAAAAGCCCTATTTTGTATGTCACTGGGGACATCTAGTGGTGAAATTTGGTACAGCAAGTGAAATAAATCTTTTCTGACTGGGAGATCTCCAAGACTAAAATTTGTCCTTGACAGCAACCAAAAGGTAAGATTGAAACAGCTGGGTGGTGAAAATATTTCTTTATAGTGGAGGTGGACAGTTATTGACTCTTACTAAAAATAGCCTCCACTAAAGGACTGTAAACATTACAGAAATGGAGGAATACCACCCACAGCCTTATGTCAAACTTATACTTGAAAAAATTCTAGAGGCTACTGAGCTAATGAATTCTAGAATGAAAGACTTACGTGCCACTTTAAAGCCACAAAATGCAGCTTTAACCCCATTAGAGGAATCCACACTTCGAAAAGCAACAGAAGAAGGAACTAATAACAAAGTGGATTTTAAAGAATCCCAGGAACAACCTACTCAGAACTTTAACACCCAGATTTTGACCTCACTTAAAGACTTTACAATTACAACAGCAACAGAAACTGAACAAAGATATGCTAAGATGGAACTTGTAGAGGATTTATGACAATACACTGAGATTCTAGATAATCTAGATGATCCAAAAACAATTACAACATTGAACATGAATTTTTATTTACTCCAGATGAAACCAGAAAAAGTACCACTTGGCCAACAATTTAATGACTGTGAAGGGACTGGCTTCCTTGATAGGCTGATGATTGGATGGTCTCCCCTGTTTCAAATGATATATCCAAGAAGGAAGGGAGAGCCACTTTAGGATCTAAAAGCTTTTTTATTGAAGCCGGCTTGGCATAAAAGGAAGACCAGAGTTAGAATTAAAAAAAAAATGGTTTTCTTTGTGTGATACCTAAGGGAAGAGCTTTAAACTTTATGTAATGAGCCAAGGAGATTTCAAAAGATATTATTAGATTTAATAGTTAAATGAGAATTAACTATTCTCTTAAAATGAGAATTAGAATATGATGGTGAAATAAATTAAGAATTTACTGGAATAAATAATAAGTGTATTTTAGATATGATATTATTTTGTATGAATTAAGGGAATTGTGGGCTATCTGAAACTTAAACGTTATTGGACAGTAAGCCAACTGGAATATTTTAATTGAAACCAGACAAAAGTTAAAAACACGATTTGGAGATATATAATCTAAAAGTTATTTATAAATGTTTTAAATGATTGAGTTATAACTAGCAACCTACTAATTTGAATTTGGTATAATGACTAAGGGAAACAGAGAGGAAATGTTTGATGATGTAAACTGATATATGTATGGATAAGCGTGTTATTGGACTACGTATTACCCAACCATCATGTTGCTTCCTTAAATACCCGGTTTGTAAAAATGGAAAATTAATAAAACTTGTTTTAAAAATAAATAAATAAATAAATAATAAGAAGTAACTACCACCCTTCTGATTAACTTGCTTAGAACACCATTGTTTGTTCTCTTAGCTAATATTTTTCTTAAGTCACAGCTAGATTGAAAACATCTCAGTGTCCACTTATTGCTAGAGTAAAACGCTCCTCAGCTATCACAAAGAAGGGTAATAATCAGGAATGACAGGCATTTTAGTTCTCACCTTTGAAGTAAAAAACAAAGCCAAGGCTGTCAAATACTTAAATCTGTTGTATTGTATAAAGAGAATGCCATTTTCTTTTAACTGTTGAAACAAAGTATTTTTTGAATATTTGACTACTCATTTGACTATTACTTTAATTACCAATGGACAAAAGGTTCAACTCACTGGGTTGATACTTTCTCCAGTTTGTATAGATCGCAAGATGATGTTTTCTATCTTCAGTGAGCCAAGTATATTCCCCTGTATTATTTAGATCTTGAAGTGCTATCCAAAAATAAGGACTGTCAGTGTTCCCTTGATGATGAATCATGCTGTTCAGGAAACCTTGTTCAAACCTTAAAGGATTCAATATTATTAAAAGTAATTAAATACCTTGTATTATAAGTAGCTTTTGTCATCTTTTTTAGCAATAGAAAAGAATAGCACTTAATGGAACAACCTATCCGAACAGCAATCTACTGAAAGAGACTAAATTCCATAGGCACAAGATATTCCACATACAAAAATATGACTTTAAATAGCATTTAGTACTCGAGCCATCCTGCTGAAATAAAACATGTTTCTAGTTACTCCAAGCAAGGCTACTAGATAGGTAAAAACCTATCCAGTCTGCTGCTATAAGGAAAGTCAACTAATACATGGCACAGACTTTCTAAATGTGCTTTGGAATATAACCTCAAATGGCAATTTGCCTACTATACTATGGCTTCCCTTGCTTATTTTGATATTTTATTTGTAATATGATGCTTGAATCATACAGCTTAAAGGACTTACTTATTACTCATTAAGAGACTATTTATTTCTATATATCCAGTAGTAATCCCCAAAAGTTCTAAATAACTTGGTTAGTGTAAATTTTATTCTTCCACTTGAAAATATATAGCTAGCAATTATTTCTTTGCAGCCAGTTCTACTCTAGATAAATGCAAAGCGTCTGATTGGAGCATAGATCTGGGGGCACATGGGTATTTAGTGCTTTGTCCAGCCCTACAGTTCTTATCCAGATTGAGTCTCGTATGCCTGACAATCACAACAGCATAAAATGAACAATTAAAGTTATAAAAAGATTAACTTAAACATTTACTGGTAGACGTGCTATCTATAACTCTATATAATCCCAACTGCTAACCAACTCAATTTTCAATATAATACAAAATTAATTCAGTCAGAAGACCTCTTTTTAATTTAGATCAGGGGTGTCAAACTGTGGCCCATGAGCTGGATGCATCATGTGCAGGCCACGCCCACCCCAGCTCCGCAAAGGCAAAAAATGTCGCAATAGTCACAATATGTCATGTGACGCGATTGAATTTGACACCCGTGATTTAGATGACTAATCAAATGGATTCTTTCTTTGATAAATAAGTGAAAATCGTTTGCTTCCCTGCCCCAAGAGAAATCATATAATTACATCTAATGTAAGAGATTTTCTCCTTTAATTAAAACAAAAATGAATATTCTTTCTTATTGCTTAAAACTAGTTGTTCGTACACAATTTAACAATGTAAACAACTTGCATAAAACAGCTGCAACTGGAGAGAATAAGGATATATTTGTTAAGATTGTTAGCAAACATTGAGCAATTTGCATAATGAAGATTTTGAAAATCAGCATTTTAAGAAGTAAAATGTCAGAACTCTTTCATGGATGAATAATTGTTTGTCACTGAATAATCCAATCCAGGTGATAGGTGATTCATGAATTCTATCCAATTCCATCTTGAGTCAAATAATGGCAAATTTGAGCATTTGTCTTCAGTTACTCTTATCCTGTAAAATAATAATTTCACCTCTGTTTCAATGCCACAGGAGAGTTTCTGTTGTTGAGTAAATTTAGCTACCTGCTCGTTATCGTTGCAAGTGAAGGACAGTAATAGCCATTCGATGCATGTTCAAAGCTTCGAGGGATGGTATCAACCTTGTAGCAATATGCACCATGTCTTTCCCATCCCTTCAAAAATAAATTTGAAATAAATATTAATTACTGTTATGTATACGGTAGAGTATTATTTCTGCATCTCTATCTGTAAATAAAATTTAAATGTCATGCAGAGACTAAATCAGGAAGCTTGTCAGACAAAATGTTGGGGAAGGAACATAGCTCAGTTCTAATGCCTGTGCTCTGTTATGCCTAGTTTTCAAACCTTTGAGGCAAGCCTGATAAGGAAACAGACACCATAAGAAATGCTAGAACTATACTACATTGATATAAGATATATTTATAGAGTCTTGAAAACATGACATTATTCCCCCTTCCATCCTCTTATACTAAATCACAGGTGTCAAACTCGCCATGTCATACGATGTGTCACGACGTAGCGCGACTTTTTTTGCATTGCTGGAGCTGGGATGGGGGCAGCCGTATGATGCAACCGGCCTATGGGCCGGCAGTTTGACACCCCTGTACTAAAGAGTCAAGGCAGGCAATGTTAAGCTTATTTCTTACACTTTGTTTTCCTGGCCTAAGCTCATGTTTTGCTAATGGTCCCTGCATATCTTCTCCAAGGTTATTTCTACATCAGTTCCATCGCTAGTGAAATAAGCAACAGCAGAACAGTTGGACACGTTTGTTTGATATAAGCAATTTTTGTTTCCATGCTGCATATCCACTTTATCATTGATTAAGACTGGAGAGAAGAATATCTGGATTTTCTGAAGAGACACAGCAGGCTACCTAGTGATACAGCGACTTTAGTGGAAAAGATAGAATCAAAATGTTTTGGCCTATTTTATGGAGAGCTTAGAAGTTAGGAATGGGAAGTCTCTTTAATTTCTACTTCTATATGTTCAGAAGACAGATTAGGCCACGGGTGTCAAACTTGCCACGTCATGTGATGCGATTTTTTTCGCATTGCCTGAACTGGGGTGGGCGCAGCCTCTGCATGATGCAGCCGACCTGTGGGACGGCAGTTTGACACCCCTCAATTAGGCAATTTTAAAGAGATGGCTTCCATGCACTTTCATAACTGAAGCACCTTTTGGATGCCCGGTTCAGTCAAGAAAGTAATAAATCAATACACAGGATCAGAGTGTTGAGAACCACTGAACTGTGCATATTTTATTCCATTGACAATCTGACTGATTTAATTTGTATGCTACAAATTGTTTCAGAGAATCAATGATAAATTATATTTCTAAAAGGAAACAATCATCCCCCATAGAACAATGCAGAAAAAATACAAAATAATAATAATAAATTGATTAATGTAGTCAATTTATTGATTCAGATCTGCTACAAATATAGAAGTAGCTGACCTGATCACGGTTGGATGATCACGTGAAAAACAAAATTCATGCTAATTCATCAACCAAGAAAATTTGGTATCTTCTTATTTTATGGTTTGTTAATTGGTAAAGTATTTCTCAGCTATTTTTTCTCAATAAAGCTTATTTACTGAATTTTCAGGGAAATATTTGAATGATGCTAAAACTTAATCTGTAATTTTTCTGAATAAGCACAGCTCAATGGTTTTTAAATTTTATTTAATTAATTATGGAGATATATGATAGTTTAACATTCTGGGAAGGCTATCAAGCTTTACGTATGCCAGTCAAGATATTGTTATGTAATTATATAGCACAAATGAGGATGTTACTAAAAAAACCACATCGACCTTTTAAAAAAATGCATAGTTGCATAATATTTGGGGCTAACAAAGAATGCAAACTGTTAAGTTCTCCAGGATTCTTCATTAGACAATATATAATTAGTACCCATGGGTTTTGTATTTTCAACATATACTTGGACAAGAAAAAATAAGCACGTTTTTGTTATGTTAAAAGTTGTAATAATATCTGGATATTGTAAACCAGGCAGTAGTGACCTGCTTCTGAAGTTAATCTAGCCATACTGATAGATTGATGACCTGGTTTCTCTGGTAATTCAAATTCTTTCAGGGTCTTTAATGCCGTATATACTACTCTATATGGCATAAAAGTTTATAGGTAGCTAGAGAATGAGAAATAGGGACACTTACTTATAGCTTAAGTTTTGGAAAGAATCATTCAGTTGAGCTAGCAGAAACATTCTCACTCACTTTGAGATGAGAAAACATGTCTATGTTTGTTTGCACTGGCAATTGTATACAAGTTAATGCTAAATATAAATATTAAACCTGAGGCAACATTCTATGGTAAAATTCTATCCAGGAACATTTTATAAACATGGAAACCTGAATTCACATATGCTCATTCAACATGAGTTAACGTTTATGTTCCTTATACTATAAGTACAAGATGAACTAAATAGGTAATCATGCCTTTCTCAGATACTTTTATTCAACTGATGTTTTAGTGTTTTGAATTAAAATATTTGTGCAAAAATAATCAGTTAAATAGAAAGATGTCTCCAGAAAAATATTTAATTACTTAAAAATTTTAGTGTTTTTTTTTAAATCAAAAACATGAAGAAGAATCATTCCCTTGTCTGGAAATTGAATATAGTTTTCTATTATCCATTTATTATCCATGTAGTATCTATTATCTGAACTTGAATTTATATTGATCCAATATCCCATTTGAAGACTGGATTTTGTATTTTGATTAGAAGAATTATTTAATATTATATTCACCAGTAGGACAGAAAGCTAACTGGACAACTGGACTAACAAAGTTTAAATGAGCATTTAATTTCAAATGAAACAATTATGTAACTTTGAGGGTCAGCAACACATTAAAATAAGATTTGGAATGATTTAAATGCAGCATGCCAAGGATGATTTTTAGAGAGGTTGAGTTAAAAGATACAGTTCCATTTAATATAAAACGAAAGTAAATGAGGATAAAAATGATGAACATTTCATATAAACATTCCCTCATTGTTATAGATGTAATCTAGCATTTGGCCATAATGCTTATGCAGAGATTTTTCTTTCCATTTAAGATGCTTTGCGTTTCAGATTCAGAACAACAGCATGTATATCCTTTAGAACTGCAAAGCATGTAAATCATAACCAAGTTATTTCATTTATTGCCTCTGTTTAATTAACTAAGATCTGTGGATGTTGATGGGCTTAGCTGCCTAGAGGCTGCGCTTCTTGTATGAAATACTGGCATTTCAAATGATGCTGTATAAATTCTGTGACCTTCCATTTAACCCAATTTTGTTAGGTTTGTAAGCAACATTTCTTCTTTTCTTCTTTGTCAGGAAAGTGACAGCTTCATGATATAATTCCAAAATAAGGCTTGAGGGAATGGGTTGATCATCACTGCTGTAGTGTTTAGACAGCTAGCTTAAGGAATTTGACCTCAGTAACAAAACATTTGCTCTTTGTTAGCAGTTTATAGATTGGAAAGACCAAAAAAAAAAAGGAGTTGTTGAATTAGTAATAAAATCACATGGCATATGGCCAGCTGAGCTGTAAGCCCTTTGCTTGCAATATTTAAGAAAGATATGGGATCATCAATTCATTAGAAGTGCTGTAAAGACAAATAAAGCCAGGCATTTCTCTGAAGTCAAGAGCAAATGAAAACAACCACATATTATGATGGAAGGAATGACTCTCATCATAGACAATTAATTAAGGCAGGCATGTCAAACTTGAGACGTCATGTGACGTCACATGACATATCGTGACTTTTTCCCCATTGCCGGCAATGGGGTGGGCGCGATTTCGGCGTGACGCATCTGGCCTGCAGGCCAGCAGTTTGACATGCCTGAATTAAGGAGTATCTAAACCTGTTTGAAATCAAAATTAACTTTCATCCAGTTGTTTGTTGACATTAAAGCAGTAGGAACCTTATGCAATTTGATATACAGCAATATCCTTCTCATTTTATGAACCAGTAATGACATAGCCCATGGACTTCTTCGGAAGACCCATTCTGCCTCTTTTATTAGTGAAATGCAGTTCACCCTTTCTTAACAATCCAGACCTTTCCCAAAATGACGTTGAGGAAAAATGGAAAAGCAGCACTTGGTTTGAAAAGAATTTCCCCATACATGGGTGTCAGCTCAAAACATATGGTTGTGTCACAAAAGAGCACAAAATGTTTGCAGTTGGAATATAATAGAACTGTTTTTATTTGTTTGTTTATTTAATGTATATGTTGTCCACCTCACTTCCCAAAGCAACTCCGAGATTTGGACTCTTCAGTAGGGCCCACTTTTCTACATTGGTTAGAGACTTTACTGTAACAGACACAACATTTAGTAAGGGATTTGAACTAATAAGGCAATGTTGGTCAAGTGATATTGACAGAAAATGTGGTGAGAAGTATCTACGGTGATATAATTATTATCAATTGTCACATATATTATTTAAATTTATTCTATAGTGATTACTTGAGCTGTTAAGTATTATACCAGGCATACTGAAGGACACGATTTTAGCAGATTGTGTATTACTAAAACTTTAATATGTCAAGCTCAGAGCTTTAGATAATAGCAACCATATAATTTTTCTTTCAAAGAGAAAAATCAGCAGCATCCTCAACCATGAATGTCAGTGCAACAGTGAAAAAGTTAATTTACCATATCAAAGAAATAAATATATTGTATACTGACATTCTCTAGAACTAAAATAAGTATGAAACTTTATCTAAAAGTTATTATTTGTACAGATGGTCTACAGTAGTCCTCCCTCTTTTGATGCAACTTCAGTCACAACTGCTGACAAGGAAGTGATCCACAAAATGAGCGAAGATTGAGAAGAAACTTTATGGCTTCACTTCATAGCTTCTTAAATGATCTAATATGTTGAGCAATTCCAAATAAAGAGATTTTATTTGGAACTGCTCAACATATAAAGAAATTCTTTATAAAGAATGTTTTTTTTCATTAAAGCAGATGAGCATTTCTGAATATGTAAGAATTCATGTACATGTTGACTGTCCTTATAGTAACAAATTCTGGAACTGGAATGTTAATTATGGAACAAATACTTGTTCTGCAGTGTGTGTATATATATTTATGCTAAGCAATTTAGTTAGAAATTAGAACTGTAAAAATATTAAACAATCTTGTGCACATTTAAATGTTTTTTCACTGAGTGATAAAACACAGATAAATTTTTCAGGGATTCTGCGTTCACTTTGCAGCCTTCTTACCTCTAATTTCATTAGAGCAGGGGTCCCCAACCGCAGACCGCACCAGTCAACAGCCCACCAAGAACCAGGCTACCCAAGCAAGCAAAGCCCCATCCACACATGCACATGAAACTACATCCTCCCTGTCCGCGGAAAAAATGTCTTCCACAGAACCAGTCCCTGGCATCCAAAAGATTGGGGGCTGCTGGATTAGAGGCATGACCAGAAAAATAAAAGTAACCAATAAATTACAGAATAAACTGTAATAGTTGCATAATCTAATGATAAGAATGAACAGCTCTTGTGGGTAAATAGTGGAACAAAATAAAAATATTTGCCAGTTTTATCTTTTGTTTTTGAGCAGCACAAGTTCTGACTCTCACAAATTATTAGAATTAGTGAGAATTATACATCAATATCCGCCATTTGCTCTCTTATGGCCTCTTTATTTTGGGGGAAACCCAAGGATTGCAAGACTAAGGCAGACAGACAATTGCTGTGTAGTTTTGTCTCGAAAGTCTTTTTCCAACTTGAGTAAAAGTTATCCAATAGAATCAAGGAGGTCAGGCCCTAGGGCAGATATTTTTAGCCAGCAACTGATTTTGTTGATCCCCATTTGTGCCTCTATTGCAATAGATTCTGCCTCCACATGTCAGATAGCTCTAGGTACATAATAAAGGACCACAAAGATAGATTTGCTTCCAGCATAGAAAAAGCCTTGTCCATGCAAGTCTATCTTTCATAAAATAGCTTTATGATTGCCTTGCCCTGGAAGGCTCAAATTGTAATATGGTAATATGTAAATCCCCACTGAAACAAAAATTGCAACCACATATTAGAGCAGAGTCTATAATATACTCAATCAAGGCTACTAGAAAGCAACACCAACACAGCTGTATACTGTATTTAACTTGCTTTGTCTTACATGAATCTGCCAGCGATGTTTTGTTAAGCATTTAGAAAAAACTATGGTTTTTGATCTTATAATAAATGATGGTACATTTTTCTTCAAAGTAGTAAGAGGCAAATGCCTGAAGGACTTTTATCTGATATACAGCTCTACCGTAACTAAACACAGAGACCCACCTTCGGCATACAACAAAGAGGTAACCTTTCTATAGGACATAACTGGAGGACAGAAACTGGGGTCATAAACTGCTTTGCTCAACAAATTAAAATGGAAATTAAAGAGAGAGAGGTTTAATATGTAGCCCTGCTTCATCCTGGTTTGGAAAAAAATACATTTTAGAAAGCCCTGAGAGTATAGTGATCCTTCATATGATCTTTCATACAGATTCATAATCAGCATAAGAAGCCAGCAATTAGTGTGGAATTTTCAAACTTCCTCCATACTATATTCCTTGGAATTTAGTCAAAGACTAATATAAAATCAGTAAATCCTTTTCTCAGTGGATATCGTGCCACTGATATTGGTTAACTGTTAGCCCAGTGGTTCTCAACCTGTGGGTTTGGACCCCATTTGGGGTCGAACCACCATTTCACGGGGGTCGCCAAACAACGCAGTCTGCCATTTTTCCCCCTTTTTCTTAGCTGTGCTACTCCTTTTTATTCTATTGGCTTTTGAAAGCCAATAGAATAGACTCTCTTGAATAGAGTCTAATTCTATTGGCTTTCAAAAGCCAATAGGAATTGTCCAGGCTGTCTCTGCCCTGCTGAGCCCGCCAAAAGTCCCATTCTGCAAACGGTGCTGCAAGTTGTCTGCAGCGAAGGCGAGCTATCTGGAAGTTTCCACCCTTCCCTGCTGAGCAACTACTAAAAATGTAAGTAAAAGAGGGCCGGAGGTGGGAGGCCGGTGGGCGCAGGGAGGGTTGCTGGCGTGTGTGGGGCCTGGCGCATGCGTTACCTCCCTTGGGCTGACCCAGCTGGTGGTCGGCCTGCGCCATCTCTGCCGCTTGCCAGCTACACCTCGGCTGGCGCAGTGGATGGCACCATGCATGCGTGGCGCTCCCGGGCAGGGAAAGTCCTCGACTTACGACCGGTTGGGTAGTCCTCGACTTACGACTGGTTGGCTTGTCCTCGACTTACGACCGGTTGGGGTCGCGGCATTAAAAAGGTTGAGAACCACTGTGTTAGTCCATCCTAAAAGCCAGCCTGCCATGGTGTCACAGTGGTTAGAATGCAGTACTGCAGGCTAACCCGCTGCTCACTCCAGGAAGTTGACTCAGCCTTCCATCTTTCCAAAGTCGGTAAAAGGAGAACCCAGATTGTTGGGGGCAATATGGTGGCTCTGTAAAACCGCTTAGAAAGGGCTGTAAAGCACTGCAAAGCGGCATATACATCTAAGTGCTATTGCTGTGCCTCCAATAAGATGTTTTTATTCTATAGTGCAGCCCAAAATTTCCAAGAAAGATGCCTTGCACAAAGATTGCTGTTTATATTAAGCAGACTGATTAATGTCAACAGAGAAACAATTTTTATCTTGGGAATACATCCTACTGATCCCAATACAATTTACTTTTGTATGTAAAATGCATATATTATAGATGCAAAAGAGTATTACCTCTGGACAGCCTGATTCCACTTCAGAAATGTGATTGCCTATATTCCCTCTTCTTTTACAAATATAAAAATATCTGCTTTTACAATTTTTAATTTTCCACCGTCCTTCCTGGTTAAAAACAGTTAAGAAAATAGAATTACAACAGAAAAACAACTGAAATAGCTCAAGTATCTTTTTTTTTTTTCAGAAATGCTTACTTATTTGAGTGGCCAATAAATTTAAAAAATAAATTTCAGGTGCTTTACTCATACATGTTAGGCTGAGAGTATTACTAATATCTTTAGATCTTCTGCAGTCTCCTATTATTTAGTGCATGAATGGGCTCTTTTGCACTGCTAGGTAGACCTTTTAAATGTACTGTAAATGTATTAAAATAAAACTGTGTAATAAAAACTCTAAAAACTAAAATATAAATGCATCATCTTTCTGTAGTTTATCTAATATTGTTGACTGCTTTGCACTTTATTGTTCTCAATAATTCATAGAGCTATTGTGTGATATCATAGAATATTTATCAAGATATCTTCCAAGTCAGAAAAAACATAAACATCAGCATTTTTTGCAAATTACTTTGGAAAAATTCAAACGTGCGAGCAACTGAAAGGCTATGAAACAAACTTGCCTGAAATAATGAGTCTGAAAAAGAACATATAAATGGAACATGCAAAGGCCTCAGATAATGCAGTATGGAAAAAGCAGCAAAATGAGAAATTGATTGTCCTTCATGGAAAAAGATGACTCTACTAATAGATATGGATCAGATAGGTGAGATAGCTGTGCAGAGACACTGTTTTGTCACTAATTGTTGTATGCACAAAAGTAATTGTTTTATACGAGTCATGCTGGCGCAGTGGCACAGTGGTTAGAATGCAGTATTGCAGGCTAATTCAGCTCACTGCTTTGAGTTCAATTCTCAGCAACTCAAGGTTGACTCAGCTTTCCATCTTTCTGAAGTGGGTAAAATGAGGATCCAAATTGTTGGGGGCAATATGATGACTCTGTAAACCACTTAGAGAGGGATGTAAAACACTGTGAAGTGGTATATAACTCTAAGTGCTATTTGTATATTGAATACCATCAAAGATACTAGGCTCACAATATTCTGTAATATCCATAGCACAGAAACACCCATGTAACATAAATGCATAATATCCAAACTCATTCACTGAATTATTTTAAAAAGAAAAAAAATCATACATGTTGCTGAGCCGAAACGCATATCTGTCCTTTCTTCTGAAGAATATTTGGTTCTTGTTTATTCCAGTAGGTGAAGATTACGGCAGATCCATCGGACCATTCAAAGTCAACAGGAGTCTTATTACAGCTTAGTCCAATCCAAGTGTCTGTCACATTTTCTATAGAAGATAACTAAGTGCATCTTAATACAACTTGAAAAACTAGAAAATGTTTGACTAATAGCATATTTTTAAAAAGTTGTGCACGCTTTAATTAGGCTTAACAATAGTAGATGATGGCACTTTGGCTGGACCTGAAAAAAAAATGAGACTGCAAAAAGATTGAAAATGATTCTGAGACTACCTGTTGCTCATCCCTCTTGTCCTATACATTCATGATATTGTAAATATTTCTTTTCTTGACGGCTCAGCATTACACGGGCTCTCCTGTATCTTGTCAAAGCTCAATAGTATTCTGTTGGCCAAAATCATCAAACATATGCCCCCAAAATGCCCATTGCAAACATGTACTTTGTAGGATATCTCAGTGTTGTTTTTTTAATAGCAGCTATTCAAACAAAACAAAACAAAACAAAACAGAACAACAGTTGGAAGGGACCTTGGAGGTTTCCTAGTCCAATGTCCTGCTCAAGCAGGAATCCCTATACCATTGTTCTGAATGGTATAAAATAATTGCACTGTGGCTTGCAATTATTTTATGAACTACCAAGCCCACCTTGCTTTGAATCTATCAAGACCTCTGAGACATTACACTCACTAAAGGTGATTTCGGTCAAATTATCTTTTCTTTCTTTTAACTTGCTTGCATTGGGGACTGTGCAATAAAACTCGGGCTCGAGAAACTGTGATTCACCAGAGATTGAACTACAGTTCCCAGTATCCCTCATTATTGGTCATGTTAACTGGTCCTTATGAAAGCTGTGATTCTGCAACATCTGGAGGTCTGCAGTCTCCTTACCCATGGAAGTGATTCAAGCTGAGATGTAAATGTGATACATAAAAAAAACAAATATCCAGGGTGCTGGTTATATTAATATGTCCACTAGAAATAAATGGAATGTTAAAAATGATTGTGCATCAGTTGTCCTGGGGCTTTTCAATGACAGTTTGATTTTTGGGTACTAATGTTATAATGGATAATATTTTACACAACCTCGTTACTCCAAGTGTAGTGGATCGTGTTCTCAAGTGGTTATCATCCCCAATTCAAGCCATCTTCCTCAGCATTAGGTCTTTTCCTACTGTTACTTCTGAGAGTTGGAGAGCCAATAATGGTGCAAAGCAGTTGGGAATTTCCCAGTGTAACCCTATCAACTTACAAGAATGCTGTTCCTGAACTTTACAAAGCTGTCTAATAATATTAACTTTTGAACCTTGAGGAAAGTTCCAAAAGAACTTCAGCAAAATTCTAGTACTGTAGTTCAAGTTAAACCAAAACGCCCTCTTAAGAGCATTAAAAATGCAAAAGGCCTATATGGTAAGACAATGTTCAATATCAACTAATTATAAAAAATTACCGTATTGAAGGAGGTTAATAAGCATCTCTGTATCAGCCAAAGAGGTTATGCTAATGAGTGTGCTATTATCATCCTGGCAGGAGAAAAATGCTTCATTCCAGTTCTTTTCTTCTTTATGAAGTTTATAGCAGTAATTATTATGTGGATACCAATTACTGTCACAGATAGTAGGATAAAATTTCCAGGAACCTTTTAATTAAAATATATTAAAACCAGCTATATTAATAGATTGAATAATATCCTACTTTTATATAATTTTATTCCACATAGTATGTGAGAACATTAGCTTTTTCACATTATTTTCTATTTTTATTTACAAAAATAAAAATGTATTAATATATAAAAATACAAGTGCAAAACAGAATAAGAATGTGCAATTACACAAATAAAAACTGCAAAATAATTCTTTGGCAATTTGATCTTTCATCACACTGACTTGATCCACGCTCTGTGAGGTAATGAACAAATTGAAACCTGATCACAACTGACTCTCAGACCTTCCAAATCTTGTATAATTATCTTTCAATCACAAGTATATTTAAAAAACATATTTTTAGTGAAAATTTGTTTAGATATGTGCATGATGAGTAACAATGAAAAAATACATATTTAAATACAAATTAAAAGCCAGAACAGGCAACGCTGTAATATTCGAACAATAATTTATTATACTATTAATCTGCCTGATAATATGTAGTTCACAAATGTTTACATGGCAGTAAATTCTTCTAGCTTTTAAGATATTTTTGTTGCAATTTCTTTTTTAAAAACCCACAGGCATAACTATAAATCATACTGGAGTTTGTGACTGAAAAATAAGTCCAAATTCCATGTTTGGACAATACTTTTGTTAAAGTTAAGTGGTAATTATAGTAATCATATATTTAAATGGACATTTTTATTTTACTTCATATGAAATGTGGGTGGATTGTGAGTAAATATACAGTATGTCCCAAAACAGGACCAAATGTTCTAAATTTATATTAGGGAAATTATCTATATATCTCTTTATATATGTAAAAGCCAAGAGTCTCTCGGAGAAAATAATAAAATTGTGTATGATCATGAAGTGATGATATTTTTGGTTTAAATTTTATTTTTAGAATGTTTGCCATTAATGTCTATAGCAGACATGTCAAACACAAAGCCCAGGGGCCAGATGCGGCCCACAAAGCCATCCTAGAAACAGTAAGGGAACCAGATTCGGTCAGAGATTTGGTTGAAATTTTAGCACAGTATGGACAGGTCTCTGGTTTTAAGGTGAATAAGAATAAAACTAAAATATTATTGAAAATAATAAGGGAAAAGATATTATAGTTGAAGCAACAGGTTATAAAGTAGTTAATAAAGTTAAGTATTTGGGAATATATATTACAACATCTAATGGAAAATTGTATAAGAATAATTATGAACGCTTATGGGTAAAAGTACAAAAATATTTAAATGATTGGCAAAAATTACAACTATCGTTACTGGGGAGAATCTCAGTAGTAAAGATGAATGTTCTACCAAAGTTTCTCTTTTTGTTTCAGATGATACCTATTTTAAAAAAGGATGCTGTTGAGTCCCTCGCGGAAAGCAGGACACGAGAAGCAGTTGTAGTTCTCAGTTTTCTTTATTCTGTGTTCAGCTCACAAGTAGATGGCTTCAGCAGCTCCCAAAACCTCCCAGCTTCTTATATAGGCATTTCCCGGGTCAATGCGATACTTTTCCCGCGCCAGCACCCGTGCATGCGCACGGCGCTGGCGACAGCCTGTCTGGTCCCGGGCAGCTTTGCACCTGCCCGGGACCGCCTGCAAACGCCCCGAGCCGTTTGCAAGGCTCGGGACATAACACCCCTTTCCCCCGGGCTAAAACTACCACCAACATATAATCATTATTTTATACAGTGTTCTGCTTCTCAGTGCTCCTATCGTTACCTGGCTTTTGTTTAGCCAGCAATGTTATGTAATCCTCTAAGTATTTAGGAGACTTCCTTGCTCTCTGTGACCTTCTCAGCTCTGGGTTTCTGACAGGTGTTCCCTGACTGAGGGGTGACAAGAGCCTGTTCCCCTTATCATGCCTTGGTGCCTTCCAAGGACTTTGCCCCAATGCCTGGCCTGCTTGCTCGCCCACCGGGCTCGTCAGGCCAGGGCTTCTGTCACTTTGTGACCTGGTTGACCTGCTAGCTGTAGGCCCTCGGGCCCCTTGAAGTGATAGCCACTGCTGGGCGTCTCTATAGAACCTCCTAGGTCCGTCCAAGACCTGTCAAGAGGCTGTCCAATCCCTAAGCCCCGTTCTGTGTCCGGGCTCGTGTGGGTCTCTGTACCTTCCCAAAACTCAGTTACTCCCTGATTTGGGCTAGAGGTGTTGCGGTCGGGACTTGGTTCCTCGACCACCTCCCTTTAAGTTTGACCCCCTGTAGGATTAGGGGTAAGGTCAGGCCAACTCTGGGGATTGTGTGCCAGCTCTCTTGCGGGGAATGATTTGTTGGGATGCTCCTGGGTATCCTCCGTGACTGGAGTGCTGTGTGATGTGTGTGGAAAGTGAGTATGCCCCCGGGGTGACTCCCTGGCTGGAGTAGGCGTGAGTGCCTGTTGTGTGGGTAAACTCCATGAATTCCTTTTCGGAGCACTTGCGGAAGCTTGAAATGGGCCGTCAGTGGCTCCATCAGTGGAGATGGGCAGCAGCTCGTGCCCTTTCCTTTGCTCCAAAGGGTCCCCCTCCCCCCTGGAAAAGACCCAGGGCTACCTCGTAGGAGAGAGGACCTGTGACCCTGGAAATAGAAGCGGGGACCCATGTATGACCAGGCCCGTAATTGCGAGTCCAGACCGGGGCACCCTCAAGTAGTTGTCTAGGTGCCCTAGGATGTGAAGTAGATGAAGGCAATCTGTCCAGATGCAACCGGTCAAGTTTAGTAGTAAGTTGACGCCCCCAACGAAGTTCAGCTGGGCTTCTCCCTGTAGAAGTGGACGGTGTGGTGCGATAAGAAAGGAGAAAGTCAGCCAACCTGTGATGCCAGTCCCCGTAGGTGAGTCTTTTCAATGCGTCCTTCGTGATGCGCACCATACATTCAGCCATACCGTTGGTGGACGGGTGGAAGGGTGCAGACGTGGCATGACGAATCATGTTTGCCTGTAAGAAAGCTTGGAATTCGGAGGAAGTGAATTGAGGGCCGTTGTCGGACACAATGACATCTGGCAGCCCGTGTGCAGCAAAAATCCCCCTCAGTACCTGAATAGTCTTTGCAGTGGTGGTGGATGAGACAGGTACAACCTCAAGCCATTTTGAATGGCTGTCAACAAGGACCAAGAAGAACTGGCCCTGAAAGGGCCCAGCGTAGTCAATGTGCACCCTAGACCATGGGGACTGTGTTTCCTCCCATCTATGCACGGGAGCTTGGGGCATCTCTGGGCGAGAGCGTTGGCACAGGTGGCATGCATGCACCTTAGCCTCAATATCTTTATCTAAACCAGGCCACCACAAGTGGCTGCGCGCAAGAGCCTTCATACGAACAATGCCAGGATGACCCTCGTGGAGGGATTCTAAGACCCTAGTCCTCATTGAGGTGGGAATGACAACTCTGTTTCCCCAAAGCAGACAACCCTGAGAAAGGGACAGCTCGTTCCTTTTGGACCAGAAACTCTGAAACTCAGGACTAGGGCAGTGCTCAGGCCAGCCAGACAAAACCCAGGAACGGACACGTGAAAGTGTGTGATCTGTACCTGTTTCAGCGGCAACATCCCTGGCACTAAGAGGGAGCTCGGGCAAGGCTTGGATTGATAGAATGTTGACAGCTGGCGCAGGGTCAGCTTCTACTACTGGCAGAGGCAATCTACTGAGGCCATCAGCATGGCCCATTTCTTTCCCAGGCTTGTGGAGTAAAGAAAAATCATATGCAGACAAAAAAATAGACCACCTAAGCATTCTAGGGGAAATGATTTGGGGAGTCTGCTTACGTGTGGTAAACAGTCCCAGCAGAAGCTTATGGTCAGTGAAGACCGTGAAATGCCTGCCATATAGAAAATCATGGAATTTTTTAATTCCAGCAACAACAGCCAGAGCCTCCCTGTCTATCTGAGCGTAGTTGCGCTCAGCAGAAGACAATGTTCTGGAGTAATATGCAACAGGAACCTGAGTTCCATCAGACCTGAGGTGGCTCAGGACAGCTCCTACCCCGTAAGGGGACGCATCACAAGCGATGCACACAGGAAGGGACTCGTTGAAATGTGCAAGTACACTGTTAGAAGTGAGCAAGGCCTTGACTTTGTTAAAACAAGCCTCATGTGTTTGTGACCAGTGCCACACTGCTTGCTTGTCTAGTAGCCTGTGAAGAGGCTCAGCTACACTGGCTTTATGTGGAAGGAAGGAATTGTAGAAATTCAGGAGGCCCAGGAAAGCCTGAAGTTCGGCCTTAGACTTTGGCCTAGGTGCTTCTAAAATAGCAGTTAGTTTGGATTCAGCAGGGTGAATCCCAGCAGCATCAATTTTGAACCCCAGAAATTCAGTAGAAGGTACCCCAATCTTGCATTTGTCTTTTTTGAGCTTGAGGCCTGTTTTCCTGAATCTTAACAGAACAGCCCTTAGCCTTTCAGCTAGAATGTGTGTGGAGTCTCCTGCAATCAAGACATCATCAAAGTAGGGGCAAACCCCTGGTATACCCCATAGTGTGTTTTCCATTACGCTTTGGAAAATCCCAGGAGCGACATTTACTCCAAATTGTAGCCTCTTTACCTTGAAGGCCCCTCTGTGGGTCACAATGGTCTGAGCTATAGCAGCATCATCATCATCAACAGGCAGCTGTTGATATGCTTGAGCTAGGTCAAGCTTTGCAAAAACACTCCCCCCCCTTGAGGGAGGCCAGGATATGACTGACCACAGGAACAGGATAGGCATGTTGCTGCAATGCCTTATTAAGAGTGCATTTGTAATCAGCACAAATGCGAATGTCCCCATTTGCCTTTAGAGGCGTGACAATGGGGGTCTCCCAAGGACTGGAATCAACAGGTTCTAGAATTCCCTGTTGGATCAGTTTGTCTAACTCAGTGTCAATTTTACTCTTTAAAGCAAAAGGGACCCTTCTTGCTTTAATTCTAATGGGAGTGACAGTGGGGTCTAGCTTTAAGGACACAGGGGGTCCTTTGAATGTGCCCAGCTGGGGGCTGAAAACATCTGCAAATTCTTTGCAGACTTCCTGTAGGTCGAGTGTT